GTACCTTATGTCACTTTAGAACTTAGAAATGTGAAATAAAAAAGACTGTAGAACGAGCTCCCTGCCCACAACCGCCAACATGCTTTTGTTTTCCTTGTCCCATCTCACAGATTTGTAGAAAGTTATGCTTGAACAAAGACCAAAAACTTCATGATTGAAAGTCTAGCTTAAAGAGAAGGTATGTCACGTCAAATTCACGAAAAATAGATAAATGTAGTTTAACAGTGATAAACTAAGTTTATCGATTGTAAACTATAGTGTATGAACTGTGAACTATAGTTAACGATTCGTTAACTATAGTTTTCATCTGTAAAACTATATTTAACGGTTGTAGTGTAGTTTACGAATACTAATCTAAGTTTATCTTGTTTGTAAATAAACGTTAACAATAGATTTTGCTGATGAATATAGATTCTCATTTGTAAACTATAATTTACATTCGTTAACCATAATTTGGAGGTGTCATTAATACTCATAAACTAAATTTAACTGGTGTACTTGAATCGATCGTAAACTATAGTTTTAAGAAATAAAATATGATTCACATTTGTGAATCATAGTTTATCGTCATAAACTATAATTCACACTCGTAAACTATAGTTAAGAACTGTTAAATATGGTTTATGAATCTAAACACTTGTTAACTGTTACATGTAACGATAGTTTTCAATTCAAAATCTCGCGGAACCAATCGCGAGAGGCAATAGTATGTGTGTGTGTGTGGGGGGGGGGGGGGGGGGGGTGAGGGGTGTTGCCGTAAGTTTTATATAAAAACAAAAAACAAATTCTTCTTCGTATAAAGAATTACTGGAGTAATTTCTCTTCTTGATAATCTTAACTTTATAAGTCAAGTTGGTTACCTGTGAGCAATGCTCAGACATTTTTGTTTGATCAACGCAAAGGGTTGGAAAGACGGCAGGGATAAATGCAAGTCTGATTAAAACCAGCCCCGTTCTATCGTCGATAGGAGAAGGAGGTTGGTTTTAATCAGACTGGGATAAACGTCAGTTATTTATTTCGCTGATGAAGAAAATTTTGATTACAAACCGCCAACATGCATTTTTCTCTATATTTCTCTTTTAAGTAAAAAATAAATTTTTAATAAATAATTGTTCCTGTCATTTTTCTTTTTATTTCCAACTACATTTGCTTTAAAATGATAGAAAATTTATTTTTAATGTCAACAAGAAATATATATATTTAACAACCAATGAAAATAATCGTTGCATAGCAAAATCTTATCATGCCTTTTGTTCGTATGTTGCTTAACGTCCCACTCGAGAATTTTTCACCCATATGGAGACACACCACTTACCGGTGGAGGGAAACATAGATTAAGGCGTTAACTATGGTTTAGAGATGCGAAATATATAGATTAACGTGGAACTATAGTTTACGGTTCTTAAACTATAGTTTATAGTTGATAAGTCTATTTTATCATGATCAACTGGGAAACTATGTTCAGCTCATTTTTGTGAATTAGATTTAGCCCCAAAACTTATTGTTATATACTATTATATATTTTTAGAACAGCACGTGGAATAGCTATAAGCAAGTTTAAAAAATTTTAAGAGGCCCATTACCCAAAATCATCACCATTATCATTTGGGTTATATTCAGATTCTTTATCAATTAAGTTTTTACTTTTAAACCGTATATCAAGAATATCTAGACGTTTAATGGCTGTCTAAGGGTTATAATCAGAGCTTCTTGATCATAATTTCTCTGTAAATTTATATTTTTCAATTTATGAAAATATGACTTACTTCAACGATGTAAAGGACAAGATAGGCTAAGACCCCTTTTTGGCACCCAGTTTTGGTGTATATATAAAGAACAATGCAATATATAGTTTGTCATTAAAACCTGTTGTCATCTTTGTTACAAAATGAATATCGATTCCGAGTTTTGGCATATATACAAAGATTACAGGAAGGTCACAACTGACAAAATTTTGCCAATTTCCGAATTTTCTCATATTTTTGATTTTTTAGCACACTTTGTTTCAGAAACCACAAAGCACAAGCTTTCATATCTTCCAAATTTACATATTTCATGTACCTTTACTAGTATCAGATGCACCTTGTGTATAAAAATCTCATATAGGCAAGCGTGTGCTCTATGGTGGGACTTATTTGTCAAACCGGCGTACGCCGAATGCGCCGCTTGACCTTTGGTAACCCGGCTTGTTACTTCATTTGACCGGGGAAGGTTCGCCGGCGTACGCCGATCTCGCCGGTTTGAAATGACCGGCGACGGACTTGCCGGTCTTAGAAATATGACGGGAAGATTAAACAACTGTTAAAATGCAGATACTTTTCACCAATTCGGCAAGTCCTTTAATTGTTTGCATTTCTTGAACAAATTTCCATTCATATATTTAAAATCTGTTGTTACATGTATTTTCGAAATTAAAATTTTTCATGAGGTCCATGATTTTTTTATTACATTGAATTTTGAATTATTCAACCTTTTTTTCGCTAAGACATAATTAAAAAGCGATAGATTATAATCAATTGATTATTATTTAGTATAATTATTTTTTGTTTTCGCCGGTTTACTTCATTTGCCACTTAGCCGTTTAACGCCGGTCATATGACCGGCGCAATTCGGCATACGCCGATCTGTAACAAATGAAGTCGGCCCCATGTTTACCAGAGGGGTGCGCTCGCTCTGCTGAACACACCTCAGGTTGGAGGAAACGTAAATTCCGCTATAATAGTGGTATATCACTATTTTAGTGAGATTCCGCTATATTTTCAGCCGTATTTACCCTCGATTTCATCAAATAACATGCTTGCTAGTCATAGTGGGTATAAAAATGGACACTAATTGGCACCCTTACATGTTATGAATTTTATTAAATTTTCTACCGATGCGTTTAATAATGCGAACACACTTTTTAAAAACGGAAGTTACATTTTTATGTTCCCCAAACGAAGTTTGGGAACATATTGTTTTTACTCTGTTTCTTACTATTATTATTATTATTATTATTATTATTCTTTTTTTCTACTTTCTTCTCCGGTACTTTTTTGTCCGGGAGTGTTCTCATAGAACCACTCATCTGATTGACATGAAACCTTTTTAGGGTTAATAGGCATGTTGTGTAGGTGTTCGGAACGAAGGTCATTTTGCGCGCACATGCATGCACGTGCGCGCGTGTGCAATGAGTGAAATAACTGATATACTTGATGAAGCCGTAAATTTCATATTTCTTGATGAATTGCTTTGAAACTCAAAATATAAAGATATATTAATAGTTTAGACAAGATAAAATGGTGAAATTAGCGTGAACTCACGCGCATGCACGTGCGCTCTTCTCTGATTGGCTGATACAAAAATCTCAATAATTTCCTTGTTTTTTGACAAAATACTTTGAAATTTAGAATATAAGTATATATTATAAGGTGCTACAATATGTTATATAGGAAATTTCTTGAAAACACGCGCATGCAGGTGTGCTGCAATCTGATTGGTTGAAACTTTAAATGTCTATAACTCCCTTGGTTTTCCACAAAACAGGATGAAATTTACGACATGGATAGGCACATAGAGCTCCTACATTATGATACTATCAAAATTGAATACAAGGCCATGCATGCAAGTATGCTGAATTCTGATTGGCTAATACTTAAAGGGTTACATCTCTCTTATTTTTCAATGAGATTCTTAAATATTTAACACAAATGTATGTATTGTGAGACACTATAAGAACATTAATGTGAAAAATGTAAAAACATGTGCAAGCACATGCGCTGATATTTGATTGGCTAATACCCATATGGCTATATCGGAGTAGTTTTCCAATGAAATACCCTTAAAAATAAAGTGTCATCTACATTACAAAAGTATTGTCTTATTTATTGAAGCTTGTAGGGAATGGGGCATCATAAGGGATTGGGGAGCCGTTTGGGGAACATCTGTAACGGTTCCCGTTACAATTAGCACTAGTTTAACATAGCAACCACTGATTTCGGTAGTATTCAAGAAAGACTGAATCTCAATTTCTCTCACAGATGTGCACAAATTAATGCTTGTAATAACTTTCAACCAGCATTGAAAGAGGTTTGTCAAATTTACAGAAGAAAGGATGATTTTTGCCTGCATGGTAACGGGTATGGAGAACCGTTGTGATTCAAATCATACACAGTTTTTTCTATGGGTGGCACTGTAGCTCTCCAGTCTGTCATTTTTTTTTCGGAGAGCTACAGTTCTGCAGCTATTCTCATTCAAAAGTTAAAAGTTTTTGCGACAGATGGACAGACTGGAAGATTCCCCCGCAGCAAGTTGGGGGGGGGGGGGATCGGTTGTTTGAAGCTAGTTCGAAGGCCAAGGTTTATATATATTTTGAGATATGCTGCAAAAGTGATGACAATAACATAGTGGGACAGATTATACACATATATAGAGGTAAATGGATGTTGGCCAAAAAAATGTTTGCCTACATCCCCTTGCGTGCTTTCTCTAAACACACATAGGTTGATGCATCGGCTTTTAATCTACACAAATGTCAATTACAGAACATTTTCCTTATAGTAGCCAGAGAAGCACAAAGATGCACCATGGACACGAAGTCTATGGAAGACAGTCTTTGCACTTGCACAACTAATTCTGCAAAAGACCCAGTGTGACAACTCCTCTTAGTATAGGCAGGCTTCTTTTATTTACAAACTTCCCCGCCTGCTGGAAGCCGACCTTAGAAGACAGCAGTGCATGTTGGGGAAGTTAAAACAAACGTCAGGGTTAGCGGCATGACAGGTCGCCATGCTCATACCAGAGAAGTGAGTAGCGGAAAAAATGTCGATCCCGATATTTCCAGAAATTAAATCCGCAATGAACATAACTCGTCGTAGGAATACATGTGAAAGACACATGTTGACATGACCATAGTAAAGAATATATCATTTCGTTTTTGACCCATCCAATGGCAATATAAAATATTCTTTTTATTTTTTTTTAATCGGGATCGGAAAAAATCTATATCTAAGGGAAGTAATGCAAGACAGAACATGGCGGACGACGGTGTTTTATTTTCGAAAATTTTACGTCAGTTTGCAAGATCATCTGCAGCAATCAATCCAGCACCGGAAGATAAGGTTTGTATTAGAAAGATATTTTTGCATGAAAGGAAAACACGAGATTTTTTTAATGTCCCATATCGTACCATTAAGCATTTAACCTCAATCAGTGTCAGTAGGAAGCAGCTGACCAGTCGCACTTCATTAGTTCATATACATGTGTGTGTCCAATATCCGTGGTCCCAAGAAAGTTCAGATTGTTCACTTCACTATGTTTGTACATCATTTGAGATCAATCATTTTTGTATAGATTTATGTTGTGACACTTCATCTATAAATGGCTTGTTAATAACCCAGGCCCGTAGGAGGCAATTTCAGTTTGGGGGGGGGGGGGTGCGGGGGCACAGCCAAACATTTTCAGTTGAGGGGGGCACTATCAACTACCAAAATTCCTTGACAAGCAAAAAAAAAAAAAAAAAAAAAAAAAAAAAAAAAAAAAAAAAAAAAAGGTCATCAGCCGTTTTTATTGAGGGGGCACAAGCATATAGTAGCTAATTATAAGTTTTCTATAGTATTCTATATATTGGCAAAATTATTTGGGGGGGGGGCGCCCCCCCTCCCCCCGGTTCCTACGGCCATGTAACCTGAAGCAGTTTTAAGCAGAAGAATCCAATATCCTGCACATATTTTTACTAGTAAATAAACCTGTTGAAGGCAGTATTAGAAATCAGTTTTGTATGTCACAAATATAATGCAAGAAATAGAATGAGACACAAACTTATAACAGATGTCATATTGAAATTGTTAACTGAAAATATAAAATATTGAGACATTTCACTTCTGAAATCCAAAATTTAGATTATATTATAAAAAGGAGTGGAAATTCAAAAACTGAAATATCACCTGTGTAAGGTCCAGCTGGTGCAACAAATATGATCAATTGATCTAGTTAGACTTAAATATAGTGATCAAGAGAAAAGCAAGTCAGGAACTCCATGAAAAACAGACATCTAAGAATTCACTAAGTGTCCAGAGTTACCATACCATGCATACTGAAGACATTTTGGCTGATTACTTTGAGTTTAAAAAGTTCATTTTCTGTAGTCAACCTCAGAGGTTAAGTGTCCTTTGTGGTATAGAATATCACCAGCAGTAAATTGGTAGAAAAAATGAAAACGAGAGATTTTCAAATTTTTTTCACCAGTAAATATTGAAGACCCAGTTGTATTATCCCAATTATATATATATATTTATTCTCATTCTGATATGAGCAATAATGTGTATCAAGAAAGGGCCAAAGTGAAGGTATTTAATAGAGGTATATCATATGGAACTTTTACAGTAACTCCCTAACTGAAATTGTGATGTAACTAAGGCATATATACCTTGATTTTCTAAAGGTCTGGTAGAATTTGTGTAATACCAGCCATTAAACTACCATATCATAAAAAATAATTTCTTATGTCTGTAAAACTGGTAGTGCATTTTAAGCATTCTACTACTATTATAGCAGAATTTATTCACTGATCAGCTTATTTTCTTGAATTAAAAACTATATGCACATATTTTAAAGTTTATGCACATATTTTAAGCTATATCTTGCATTGATTAATGCTATTCATTGCTTTTAAATAATTCTAAAATATGTTCATGTGTATCTGTAAGTACAAACACTATTTAATAAAATCAAATCTAATAATATTTCCTTTGGGGTACAAGACATATGTACATTAACAACACAAAAATAAATACTTTTTAAAAAATCAGTCCAAGTCAGTTAAGCAATCACTTTAATTCTGTTAGGTGGCATTAACACACTTGATTCACACAGTAAAATAATATATATACAACTACTTCAGGTTGCACGGTTATTTTCATTCTGCCCCAAGGAGATCAATGGTGGTTTGACGCTGGACCAGAGAGGACAAGATGCAGTGATTTCCCTTGGTATATTTTTGTTGGAATCTGACTTGCAGGTAATACAGGCATAAGAAGATGACCTATTAAATGTATATCTAATCATCAATTTAATTTACAAAAAGTTTTGTGTGTGTATGTGTATGCTTTATTCAGAAAAATGACATAAACTGTTATTTCTTGTTTAGAATAAAGACAAGATAGCACCATATCTGTTGAAAGTTTTGAGATGTCTGCCTACATCACAGTGGGCTGGAAAACATAAACCAGGAAAAGGCCAAAGTAAGAGATGTTATTGTTCTTATTTAATCAAATCACCCATTGCATAAGTAAAGCGAATTCAGAAAGTTGACAGAATCATGTACTTGAAGATATATGTTTTTTAAAAAAAAGATCATCCTGTAATATACATGTACCTGATATTAAAGTTTATGGGTGGTACCTGATATTAAATTTTATGAGTGGTACCTGATATTAAATTTTATGGGTGGTGTGGAAGGAGAAACTTTAATTGTATGGATGGTTGTCCTCTAAAAAAAAAAAAGTGCTACCCACCATTCCCCACCCCCTACATTTTTTTCTGGAATAACCCTAATCTGACAGCCATAATATGATCAAATTCATCATTTTGTTAAGCAAAAAAAGACTCTATATGTTGATAATTAGTAAAACTATATGTCTAAAAGTAGTTTTGATAATTTCTAGCATTACCAAGATGTGAAAACTTCAGTTTTTGTTTGAACACAATACTGAGTGACTTGGCATTCAAAGATGACAACTTACGAGAAGAGGTAAATTATTGAGAACTAAACAAAATAAATCTCAAACTAGTATGCAAAAATTAAATTGTACAATTATATGTAATATTAATAGTAAAAACCTTTGTACCTTAATTTTTTTTTTAACAGTAGAAAAAATTCTGTTTACAAGTACAATGTACATGTATTTCCTTGGCTTTGTTATAAGTTAATTCCCTAGTGTTAGTGGTTTTCATTCACACATTTTCATGTTTTCTAGGTTCTCAGTACACAGTTAGATGTCCTGGAAGCTTTAATTAACAAGTGTGAAGACACAGAGAATTCCAAAGACGGTTGTTACAGTATTTTGTTGATAATATGCTCTATACAGTGTAATTTTTTATGAGGAAAAATAATATGGATTATTATTACTGAAAATTAAGTAAAAATAAAACAAGCCTAAGGTCCTCTCATAAAGTCTGGCTTGTCAACACATTCTTTATTACTATAAAACCATGAAGCACATTTCTAAGAAAATAATGTTGGAGTAAAACATTTTTCTGGGTTTTTTTTTCAGTGAAGCTCTCTCTGACCACCATTCCCCTACTATTTGGTTTGATTCGAGCTCTGGGCAGGTCTAGTGATGGAAACAAACCCCTAATTTCTCTACTGTATCCATCAGAATCTGTTCAAAAGGAGCATGGCACCCCCAAAGAGGAAAGAGAGGAAGAAGAGGAGGAAAAAACTTTCACATTCCGCTCAATCCTTCCCCGAACTATCTCCACTCATCTCATATACTCTGACCCCGTCTCCCCAGTCACACCAACGGAAAGGAGCCCATCTGAATTATCCACGATGCGGTTCAGGGAACGGTCCCCCTCCCCTCTTGGAGTACAAGCTCCAGGTAAACCTGGCCAGGAGGAGAACGTGGAAGCCTCCAAGTACTACTTCAGCAAGATTGCTTCCAGCTTTACTTGTGTAAAGCCCTGGGGATTTGAAATCATCCCAGAAAAAGATCACCTGGTTTTCTCTCCAACACAACTTCAGCGAATTTTGTCACTGGTAAGCAAGAATTATGGAAGAACCAACTATGGTATGATAATTTTCTTGATATCTTAAATTCATGTACATCTACCACTTTCAGTGGCACCCACTTTACACCCGATTTTTTAGAGTAGTTCATTCCTAAGTAACTGAAAGCCCTACCTGAATGAAAAGTACATGGATGATTCAACTAGGGATACACAATACCACACTTCCTTCAGTTGCAGTATCTGACCTACATTTTCTGGATGATTGACCAGATAAAACTTTTGGAGCAGTTGTCATTCTTAAGTACCTGGACCAAACTTGCATGGGTAATGCATTTAGGGATGCACACTTTCACACTTGCTTCGGATGCTGGATCTGACCTACATTTTCTGGATGAGTGACCAGATAAAGCATTTGGAGCAGATTAATCCTTAAGTAACTTAAGTCCTGCTTGACATAACTTGCATTGATGATGCATCTAGAGATACACATTACCACATTTGCTTTGGATGCTGGATCTGACCTACTTTTTCCAGGTGAATGGAACTGATTAAATTTTCAGAGCTGGTTCATTCCTTATGGTGACTTGCATTGCAGGGGTCAAAATTAACGGGAATTACTCGCTAAATGCAAATTAAAAACAGAAACTGCGAGTTAAAAGCGACCTGTGGTCGCCAACTTTTGCGAGTTAAAAAAAAAGGTCTTGAAAATTAGAATTACCCATGTATACATGAAAAGCACTAAAGGTACACATTTTTTCAATTAAATTCCCAAACAATGAAAAATTTTCAGGTAGCCTGCTCCTATAGTTCGTAAATCTCCATAATCTCATCCATTTTGCAGTACTACCTGACTTATTTACTTCCAAAAACGATCGTTTTTTCATAACCTGAATTTCCTCCATTCCTTTGATTTGGTAAATACATGTAGATATTCTATTTAATTATTTAGGATCATTTAATCAACTAGAGGAAAAGTGTTATGTGATTTTCAAAAAAAAATAAATCTCCAGTGTATTTAAAAATTTAAGATGAAAAAAAAGATTTTCACTTCAATTTAAACGAGCTAGTACAATGACCAGAAAAAAGGAAGATAATTTATTTTTAAATTCATTTTTTTTTCTATTATGATTATTGATTTATATACAATTCAATTTTTCTAGTGAGAATTAAACTTTAATTTTAAGAAGAATTACTTTAAGACCCTGACTTTATCAACGATAAACTATTTTTCTTTCAATGTTAGTTGATACTTTTCCAAACTATTTTTCTTTCCATGTTAGTTGATACTTTCCACCCGTACGTATGAGCTAGGTGCTTTTTACTTGGGGCTAGTAATTTTATTGCTGCCACTAGTCTGTGGGCTAGTGCTTGAAATTTTTAATTGCACACCCCTGTATCAGTTCAGATTTCATCTTTTTATAAAACGTCACCAAAATATTTACAAGAGGTAAATTAGTTTTCTTTGAATTATTCAAATAATTCCTATGTTAATTACTAGGAGAAGAAAAAAATGCTGGTGAAAGTTCAATATTGCTAGTTAAAAAAAAATCCACTAGCTAAAATTTGCTAGTGGTCAAAAATGTTAATTTCGATCCCTGCATTGATGATGCATGTTCCTTGGGGTGCATACAACCAGATTTGGAAGCTGGATCTGACTCACATTTATAGGGTGATTGAACAGCAAAAGTTTTTGAAGCAGGTCATTTTTCAAGTATCTGTAGATCCTTCTTGAACCAAACTTGTAAAGATGTTATATATAAGGATGCACACTACTAGAACATTTGTTTGCTGTTAAACTTTGCCTTTCATATAGTTAACATTCAGTGAAATGAGCTTTATGATCTTTGATGACCTATGTTTTACATATGCTTTTGTTTTAAATCATTGTATATTATGAATTTCCCTTGTAGACAAAAAGGTTGCTTAGCAAAGAGGTTTTAGTGAATGTCAACACAGCTTTTACATGGATGATCAGTGTTGAAGTAAGTTCATGTCATTTGTAAGCTTCCTTTTATAATTTAGATTTACTTGTACTGTCATGTTCTCCTTTAGCACTGTATGAATTAACAAGAATCAGTAATTAGGAATAAGAATTTGAAAGTTTATTTACATGTATATATAGTTACATGTATTGTGTTATCCTCTGATTGGTTTAAATTTAAACAGAATGGTAAAAAGTACAGTTGGTGGCCATACAAGTCTTACAGTGAGGCGGTCACTCTGTCAACGGTTACCATGTTGAGGGACATTCTGGAGCAGGAACAGGGTAGGTCAGGCTAATGTAATGTCCTCCATGATATGCATGATATAGACAGACAATATCAAAGATTAAGTACCATAATCATTCACAAAATGTAACAATAAATAGATACAAAAGAAATACTGATATTGTTTTATAATGTTTATTGGTGTACATGTACATGTGTGTATTTCAAGGTATTAGATTGCAATCCTGAATGAAATACATGTCATTTGTTAATTTACATGTAATTCATCTACATATGTATTTCAATCTCCAATAAATTGCAGACATGCCAACCAGTTTCATGACAGAGGTGTATGAATTTTCAAAGATGATGTATTCTTCCGGACAGAATGACCTCGACAAACGAGGGAAGGGAACCAGGGAAATGGAGAAGAAGACAGATTTTCACACGTACGAGATGATGGTGCTGAGCTGCGCTGTCTGTATAGATCTGATGTTCTGGGCAGTCAAGGAAGAGAGAGGTATGGGGCACCTGCTGACTAAATAGCACCAACTGATGAGGTTTTCACTTTTGTCAGCTACAATTTATCATGACTTTTCTATGATTCAGAGGCTGAGAGTCTGTGTTTACGACTGACAGAGAAGATAAGTACAAACACGGAAAGGAAGTTATTGTTGTCGCACACTCCATTACTTCTAGTGGCTTTAGAGGTATAATTTCAATGTTTAAAGATTCTGTCTCTTCATGTAACACATTGCTCCATCGGAAAATCATGTTACATGTAACTTTTAGTTCTGTCACTGTTTCAGACGAAAGTATTTACATGTGTAGCAGATCCTGTTTTTGTAATTTAGTCTTTAGGAAAACTTGCCAACAAGTTTCCACTGCTAGCCTGGACCATGTGCTGTACTCTACGTGATTTTTTGGTGAGTCCTTCTCCCATTCTAAGTAAACTGAACAAATATGCCTCGGTGGACAGCAGGAGTAGCATCAAGATCACAGTCACTGATACTGGGAAATCTCCAAAGTCTGGTCGAAGGGAACAGCCTCAGAGCAAACTACTGAAGGCATTAGAAAACATCAGGGACAGTGCTATCATCAACGCCTGCAGGTAAAGTACTGGAATCTATCAACTTTATGTAGCTCTACAAATTTAATGATGAACATAGGGATGATATCCTAAATTTTTGGTTGGAAGCAGTGGTAGTTACAGTTAGTGAATGTGATGTGTTGGGAAATAATTTATAACTGCATGTGATAAATTATAAAAAGTTAAGGTAAAAAGAGTTTTCTTTTGTTTAACTTGTTGCAGAGCCCTGAAGGCTTGTTTGGAGGTGGATGAAGACTGTGTCCAGGCCTTTATGGCTTCCATCTCGAACCGTTTATACAGAGCAGAAATGTCAGACAGGTAAACACTGTAAAACATTCTATAGAACATCTAAGATGAAACGTATAAGATTTTGATAAAATAATGTTAAGAGAATTGTATGTTTATAATGTATGTTTATGCTATTATTTTTCATTTAAAAAATTAAATACATGTAATATGTAAATGTATCAGTATTATAATCCTTATGGTACGTGTACCACATGTGTGTAAATTTTATCTACCACAGATTCTTGCATTGGAAAATTGATATAGTTCTCAGTCTTCGCTGGTTAAGCATGATAATAAATGCCTAGTTTGGTCTCTTGGCTTTATTTGCCTCCTATTTTTCTACTGCATGAAGTACAATATGTACATGTATATTTACGTCATCACATTTAAGTTTTATACCCCTCAAATACTTCAGGGAAGCTCATTATTGACTTTGTCTGTCTGTCTGTAGGTTTCTTTGTTTGAGGTCAGTAGTCTGTAAGGATTAATGGCCAGTGTATATGCTGTAGTTTTGACAGTACCTTGGGTTTGTAATGGTGCTCGCTTTATATGTCCAGAGGTCGTGGGCTGTCTACATTCCATGGCATATTTCCAAGGTCAAGGCTTTATTGTGAATCTGTGGTTTGAAATTTAATCAAATCAATACAATACAACCCAGAGTTGTATAGTTTCTTGCAGTCAAGGACATATATGTCAAGGATCAAGGTCATTTTAATTTGCTACTTTGAATTATTTTCTGAACCCTTGATAGTTTAAGACTGAATTCTTATGATGCAAATTTGTTTCAAGATCTAGACAGGACAAGGTACATGTAGTATCACTAAGATCAGAATAATTCTGCATCAAAGTCAATATCTGCGTGTAGTGTATATTTATATGGATTATACTTTATTTACCTAAAAAACAAATAACCTAAAATGTATGACTGTATGTGTCATATTGAATTGTGATCCATTCTTTTTCTTCAAAATTACTGGAACGTGTACTACAATATCTATGTTGCAAATATAAGTTAGATAATCATAGTACTATAGGATGTGTGCCATTGTGCACAAATTTCATAAAGATTTATGTTTTAGTGATGTACATGCAGTCTGTAGTGCACTATTTCATGATCAGTACCAAAATATGAATTCATATAGTTGTGATAATGTATACAAAATATGTGATAATTCATGACCTTAGTGTTTTTTTAGTGCTTTAAAAAAGCACTAAAAGTACAGTACATATCAGTATAATAGCAGAAGTTTTTAAAGGACCAATAAACTTTGGTGTCTCAAACACAGCAGGACTGTTACAAACTTCAAGATGTCCAGTGGTTGGAGAGGAATAATAAAACTTGATCTCAAACTGTAATTGAGACAGTAGACTCACTTTGAAAAATCCCTGGTATTCAATATCTCCGCTTTGAGATACCAGAGCTCATCTAAAACTGAGATACTATATCTGCACCTTTTATACCAAAATAATCTTAGGCATCCGTGAGATTTATTGTCTTTTATGAAATTTGAATTCACATTAAAAACTAAAAGTATGGCAATTGTCGAACAAAGATTTTCTTAGATTAGTTTAGATTTGGATTAAAAACTGATCAGTTAGTGTTTTTCCAAAGGTTTCAGGCCCTGAATTTGTCCATGTATCAGTACTTTAAACAACTAAGGTATAAGAGGGTTTTAAGTATGTTCTTGCATTTAAAACTGTTGATTGTTAGTTTTCCATTTTATATGACTTTTCGGTGTAGTTCCTACTTTTGAATTTGAAAGAAATTCTGTTTGATGATTAGCCTGTTATTAGCTCACTTGAGTCGGTGGCTCAAATGAGCATTTCTAATCAAAGTTTGTCTGTCCTGTTTGTTCTGTGTGAACTGTTCACATTTTCATTACCAAGGGGAAGTAATCAAGAACCATAGAAAGAAGGTTAGTCTTTAGAAGAACCTCTAATGCAAAAGTTTCTTTAATTTTCTATATATTCAAGTTTGTTCAAATCATGTCCCATTATGCTTAATTGGGTGTCAGGATTTTTTAACACATTACAAATATTCAATCTGCAAGCATTCTTGTGGTGAACAAAAATAATTTGTTTAAGTCATGATCATGGGCTACATTATAATAGAGGTTGTACAATTTTACATTGGAATATATTTGAAAATTGATTTAAAATCTTCTTGTAAAGAATAGGAACATGACAAGACTATGAATATTCAGACTAATAATTATACATGTACAAGTATTTTCATGTTGGGCAGTTTGTTCCTAGTGGCTTCACTGGGAACACGGTAAGAGCTCAGAGTTTTATATGATAATGTGTAGGAATATTCTTTATTAAATTTTCTATTCATAATTTAAAAAAAAAATCTTGTGTGGTGCAATTAATGTTTGTTCCAGTGTCATTGTCTTCATATGGGGACATAAAAGAGGTCTTTTTAAAGGTACATTTTCATTTGACAGTGTACCGGTAGTATTCCCCATGTGAGCTTTGTGGAACATAGGCCTTTTTGTTACCTATTTGAACTTCTAAGTTTCATAATATTCTTCATGAATCCTATAGGAGTGGGAAATCTGCAGAAGAAAGGTGGAACCAGTTGAAACTGGTTATGAAATTCATTCGACCATCATCAGGAAACCTTGAACTGCAGGATGTTGAGAGGCAATGCTAATTTATCCTAGAGATTTAGATATTGCACACTTAACTTTTCATAAACCCTGGCGGCAGTGTTTTGTACACACTGTGTTGTCATATCACTGCTTTCAGATATCATTTACAGGTTATGAACTTAATATGGTGGGAGAACGTTGTGTGTGGCTTGTAATTCAATGAATAAAGTAGATGCAACTTTCAATAAGATTAAATATAACAGCATCTTAAAGTTGTATTAGCTTACTAATTACAGAAAAAAGAGACATCTACAATAAAATAAATTAGAATTATTTAGGAATAAAATATTTAACATTAAATCAAAACAGAAAAAAATGAAATTATTTTAGTTAAATGAAAATTAATCTGACATTGATATGAGATGACTTGATTTTGATTTGCTTTAAAGCAGTTTTGTCTTTGCAACAAATAGAATTTTAATTGTCCATTTTCATCGAAGGAAATCAATAACTTGTTTTACAAATAACTGAATAGGAGAATAAAACCAACTAGATTCTTTGTTAGGTGAATGGGGTTTTTTTTTTTCATTACTCACAAATTGCTTTTCCTTATTGAAATATTTTTGCTTATGCATGTAATAATATTCTTTATATTTCCATTATATGTATTTATCATGTAGCAGTTATTTCTTTCAAGAAATACTCTTACATTATTTAGATTACTGGTATATTAATATGCATGCATTAATGCTTGAAATACTTTGTTGTGCTGCTAGTGTAGTTTTTGTTCAAAATTTTGTTTTGGATCACTTTCTATTGATGTGCTGTGAGATTAATTTTCATTTTGAATGCAATGTTTCTATGGCAACTGATAAATGCTGTTGATGATAATTATATTCTTTGATTTCTTTTGCATTATTTATTTTTCTGTACTTTTATTTGGCATGATACACTATATATATACATGTACTAATATTTGGTCCTATACTCTGTAAAATGTGAAATAAGACTTGATGTTTGAACAGGGAGTCTAATCTGATCTCCACCAACACAATCCTGACCCTGGGGCATGTGGCTGTGGCCCTGAAGGACACCCCTAAGACTGTGGAGTCTGTTTTACAGATTTTCCAGCAGCGTTTCTGTTCTCCGCCCTCACAGCTTGATGTTCTGATTGTTGACCAACTCGGCTCCATGATCATAGCCGGATGTGTAAGTGTAAAAACAGAAGTAGTATATACAATATGTAATTAGCTCTCCTAGCCTGTTTTATATCACTTCATAGCCAAGAAATAAACCTGTAAAGACTTTATTGAATATCCTTTCAAGTTTTAAGTCAAAATGATATACAGACATATATAACATATATGGTATTATGCTCAACACTTTCATATTTTTGATGTTAACTATGCCTAATCAAATGTATTGAAATATGGTACAGTATTTGTATTTGGAGTGAGTTAAATGTTTATGTGTTACTATTTATAGACCACAGTGTACAATGAGGTCATGAGGATGTTTGTTCAGATCAGTATAGAGAGCAGTTCTCCATACAGCTCAGGGGAGAAGGATGAAAAGATCAGAGGATACAGGTATATGTCAGGCTTACAAGGTTCTTGGGGAAGGTCAGGGACACTGAAATCATGTACAATCTACTTGATTCTGTTTCTCAGAAGGAAGTGTATGCTACTCAGTTTGGTAGTATTTGAGGAACAATTATCTAGTAGATATTAACCAAGTTTTTCATCTCTAATAATGATAATGCAGTGACGATTTGACTTTTGAGAGACAAGTTTCCCACACTTATTAAATGATAATGCAGTGACAATTTGACTTTTGACAGACAAGTTTCCCAGACTGTGATTAACGCCCTGGCTAACATCGCCTCCAATGTCCAGGGGGTAGAGGACCAGAATGAGTTGTTGGTCCGACTCCTGGAACTGTTTGTTAATATGGGACTGGCAGCCAAGAGAGCCAGTGAGAAAAGCTCAGGGGCTATGAAGGTAAGGCTGATGTAAACAGAATAATAGCTAAAAGAGGAAACTAGAAGGAGTATTGTAAGGAGAAAGTGTAATAGAATAAACATGTTATCTGTCAGCAGTGAGAGGTGCATAAAACATTAAAAAAAAAAGAAGAAAGGTCAAGTCCTTACATTTGCAAAATGCAGATTAAAAAATAGGATGAGAGAAAATTTTTCAACAAAGCACTCAAAATATCAATTGAAGTTTTCAAAACGGCTTATGCAACGACGTTAAAAATATTGTTAATTTTTTTTCTATTTTGCTTCTCAATGTAACATGCAGGCCTCAGGAACAGCAGGAAACCTTGGAGTTTTGATACCTGTCATTAGAGTTGTAAGTTTAGCTTTTAGTAAATATTCTAGTTTTATGCATTATCTAAACACTTCAAGGTATATTTTACTGATTTGCTTTCTGTAATATAATATATACATTTGTAAATCAGCAGACTCAAAATTAAGTCCAATCTTCCTCATTATATGATTAGCACAATGAAAAATTAACATATTTGGTGGCAAGCTTTTAGTTGTAATGGATTTAATCATATATTAGCATCTACTTGAATCAACGGACAAGAAGCAGTGCTAGATACACTTAAATATGAATACCGCTCAAACGAGTAGGTTTATAGAATATTAGAAAATTATATGATGAAACTTGTTAAAAACACTGTATTATTTCAATAGTTCTAAGATATACTGATTGTTTGTTTTGATTATGAATTGTCCTGTAGTTAATTCGACGACTCCCAGTGATTAAGGATCCAAAGTCGCGTCTGTTGAAGTTATTTCGAGACTTCTGGCAGTATTGTGTTGTGTTTGGTTTTACAGTGGAAGATTCTGGTGAGGAAGTTTAGGAGCTCAACTTAATTCAGTATACATTGTATCAATGTTTTTATGTAGCTTCTAGAAAGGTTGTTTGTAAAAGTTTCATCATTGATGGTCGGGTACAATTTAAAGTACTATGAAAAATTTAATTGATTTAAAATACAGTATTTATAAGCAGCTGTAAATACATTGGTATGATTTGACTTCTAGTGATCTGGCCTAGAGAGTGGTATGATGGCGTATGTGAGATTGCTACCAAATCACCATTATTAATTTCCAAGGAACACCTGAGATCTGAACTCCAGTATAGTGTTGCTCTGCGTGATGACACTGTGGGACCGGTAAGTCGAGGACACTGACATTAGGTTATAATGACAATGTGATGGTAGATCAAGGCTTCCATACAGTATGTGTCAAGGTTAGGATATCACGGGGGGACCTGTAAGACAAGATTACTTACATCTATGTCAAGGACCTTGTCACCGTGGAAGCAATAAGTCAAGGTTACTAAGTTACTAACATCTATATCAAGGTTAGAATAATACTGTGGAACAGTAGGTCAAGGACACTAATAAATATGTCAAGGTTATTACAATAGTGGGGGACTGGTATGTCTTGATTACTGATGTGTTGAGGTTGTCATGACACATTGGACCAGGAGGGCAAGGTTACTAACTTCTGTGTCAAGGTTTTACTGTAAAAATATGTTTAGTGACCTTTTCTGAAAAACCCAGTGGGGTTTTTTGTCCATTTTGGACAGTTCTAGTTTAATCTTACCAACATGAAAGTTTACCAACATCTGCTAAAAGGTTTCATTTTGAATGATATCTGAAATGTATATATGATATCTGTATATGTGGTAGATCATGCATATATGTACATCATGAAATAAATTTACTTTAAAACCTTGGATTAAAAACAGAATTCAAGGAGATTTGTAAAAAAAAATATATATATACATAAAAAAAAACAAAAGAAAATAGCATACTATTTCAAGGCTTGATTTTAACACTTTACCAGCATAGTATTTTGATCATTTATGATAAGAGTATATATAATATTTGAGATTGACTTCTTCTCTGGTTTTACAGGCGGAGCTGAACGAGCTAAGGACCACAATCTCCTCCCTGCTGGAGAGTTCTGACATCTACAAGCTGGTGATGAACCTCTCGTTTGCCCAGTGTACCTATCTACTCTCTGTGTTCAAACTGGAAACTCTCAGGTATTTAGTATTGTGTGAACTTATAGCAAGGTCATTGCTTGATTGTAGCACAATGTCAGGATTGATTTTGATGTATTCTTCAGACTTCAACATTCCACAGAGAGATCAGCTGTTCATGGACTGTTTGCTTATCTTGAAGATCCTACACTTTATAAAGATAAAGCTGGTAAGTTGTCTCTGTTTTAACAGAGCAACCAGAACTAAATCCTTTCTCTACCAAAATACACATACAAAAATAGTTTCTTCTCATTTGTAATTTTTTGCTCACCTGAGCTGAAAGCTCAAGTAAGCTTTTCTGGTCACATTTTGTCCGGTGTCCTTCTCTCTGTCAAGATGTTTGTCACTATTCAGTTTCTTCAAATCTTCTACTCAAGAACAGCAAAGCCATGATTTATTATATTTATATGGAAGCATCTCCAGGTCATGTAGATTCAAATTTGTTCAAATAATTGACCCTTGGGATAGGTTGGGGTCACAGTAGGAGATCAAAGTTTTACATAGGAATATATAGGGAAATTGTTTATAATTCTTCCTGTAATGAACAACAAAGGCATTATTAGTCATATTGATACACAAACATCCTCAGGTAATTAAGATTCAAGTTTGTGCAGCCCTAGGTAATAGGTTGAGGCTACAATAGAGGATCAGAGTTTTACAAAGGAATATTTAGGAAGAATTTTTTTCAAGAGTGGCAAGACCACACTAAATCATATTAATAAACAAAGCATTTCCTATCATAAGTTTTGTGAAATCATTTTTTTTTATTATGAGTCCTTGGTTGAGGGTTGGACTGAAATCAGAGATCAAAATTTACTGATGTATACGTACAGGAAAAAAATTCTTCTACAGAGCAGCAGGGCCATATTGATCATATTGATATTGAGGCATCCTAATGTTGTGTGCATGACTTTAACTGTTTAAATCATGGCTTTCTTAGGGCTAGATTGTACTCAACAATTTTATGAAATTAAAAAGGGAAACTTTAAAAAAAAAATTTGCTACGTGAACAGCAGGGCCATAGTGACTCAGGTGAGCATTGTGGCCCATGGGCCTCTTCTTTGATTCAGTATTTTTTAATTGCTTTTGGCTAGGTTTGTGAGCTGTCAAAAATATTTTAAACTGTTAAACTGGTTATAAAATGGTCAGAAACAGGCTTACTTACAGAACACTGTATTCAGAATTTGTCATTTCAAGTTCCTTAACTGAATTGAAGTACAATGTAGTAGTTACAAAATATGATTTGTTATGAGTGGAAATTAATTTCATTTAAGTAAGGTACATGTAACTGTACACACATAAAACTGCCAATAAGATGCATGATTTCTATTAGCCCAGTGACTGATAGGTACAGTTCTATATTTACAAAGGAATGTGGCAATGTGTAAGCGCTGTGGCAGACAAGGCTTTTGAAAGATATCTGGATGTCACAGACCAAAAAGTAGGCTATATTATTATTATTAATTTGACTCTGTGTGTGTGTATATGCCTGTTTATTAACATGTACATACATGTACATGTATGTATTGTTCCATAATTGAGGTTATAAAGGATTGCTTGGTATGTTTGAATATACATGTACATGTAACTGCTAAAAACATTTTGTAACTTATTGGAAAATGATGCTTCATTTTTATTTACTCCTATTCATGTACATGTAAGTAACAGATGGGAATAATGATGCAGACACTTTTAACTATATATGTATATATGTATTTTTGGTGAGAGCTTTATTGTTACATGTATCTTTTACTCATTTTATACCAGCTTGATGGACTATGTTAATTACAGGACCTGGTATATATTTTACTCATTTGATACTTCATAAGACTGTGTTAATTACATGTATATCTTTTACTTAATCAATACTTGCTGAAATTTTCTATATTCAGCCAAGGACTGAAGCTCGTGATGCAGAGTTAGAGAGCCATGCCCAGTTTCTCCTGGTGTGTTTTAACCACATCCATAAACGGATCAGACGTGTGGCTGACCGATACCTCACCAACATGGTAGAAAGGTCAGTTGTTATTACAACCACAGTATGTAAGTTTTTTGGTATAAAGGATTCAAGAATATTCTCCTCTGTTTGAAAATGTTATCATTACCAATTGCAATAAATTTCAATAAATAAAGCTCACTCATCTGTTATTTTCTATCATAATTGCATAAATGACAATTCTTAATGTATTTGCTAGTTAATATCAATATTTATATTACAATATTTCTACTTTCTTTTATGCAGCATTAACATTACTTAATGCAATATTTTTATCATTTGAGTCAACAAATATCATCATTAAAAGGGAGGGGGGTGAGATTTTGATACATGTACCTTTAATGTCTCTAAAAATGTGTATTTTACAATTAAAAGAAGGCACACTGGAAGAATATTCTGTATAGATACATAAATTAATTAACTAAAGTCTAGAAAGAGAATAAGTTCAACAAACTTACTTAATTATTCAGATTCCCACACATTCTGTGGAGTGGTGCAATGCTGAAAACTATGCTGGATTTGATACAACTCCTTTCCAGTTCTTTACAAATAGTATGTTTTACCAATATTTCTCTAATTATTTAAATGAAAGCAACAGTTAATGGGTTGGTGATTGTTTTATATATGTACATTAAATTGATGATGTTTTTCTGTCCAGGATCCTAACCAGGAGGCACCAGAGTTCCTAGTTCCAGACACGCCCTTCACCCTGAGGGTACAAGACAACATGGCAGACAGAGAGGTCAGTGGTACCTAATCAAATATTGTATAGAGGGAATTTTTAGCAGGGTACTAACTTTGGCTTATTTTAGCGGAGCCGCCAAACTTATTGGCATACCTTTGAGCAAGCAAAACGCCAAATTTTACACCTGGTAAAGAAACCTGCTATACGGTACCTTGTACATATACAGGGTACATATACTGGCTTATTTTAGCGGAGCCGCCAAACTTATTGGCATACCTTTGAGCAAGCAAAACGCCAAATTTTACACCTGGTAAAGAAACCTGCTATACGGTACCTTGTACATATACAGTGTACATGTATATGTACCCATGTCTTACGTGTACATGTACCTATGTATTACAGTATATATGTACATGTACCTGTGTATTTCAGTGTATCTGTACATGTACCTCTGTATTGTATTAGAATTGATTTCAGTGGTTTTAAACTTGTCTGCTTTTCATGGTAGAAATAAAAACAGTCAAATATTTCTGTGAAAAACATACATGCACATTTTTTCAATTAGAGTTTTTTTTATGCTCATTGTTACTTACGGTGTGTATGCTGTTGTTGTTCAAAAGTATTGTCAGTGATATCTTATAAAGACTTTTGTCATTAATTAGAATACTGTGAAGGACTTTGCAGCCAGGAGCCAGCAGATTCTACAGGAGGCAATGAAATGGGCACCAAACACGACCCGGTCACATCTGATTGAGTACCTCCTTAAGATGGACAATACCACCCAGGGGCTGTTCCAGCACAGCGGCTTGGCTCTGGCCACACAAAGTGTACTCAGCTTTGCTGGATATAATGCCACCTCTAAACCACTTGGGGTAAATACATTAGTATATTCATCTGTCATTTCTATTGAAACTTCTATAGCCCCAAGTTCGCAGAACATGGGAATTTAATATTTGTGGATAATGAGGGCCATTGCAGAAGTGGATGTTCCAAGAATGTAATTTTTTGTGAGCAAAGAGTCTCACCTACATGTAATTATGAAAAAATAAAGTTCATGAAAAAATAAGATTTACAGTATTATACCTTATACATGTACCTACACATGTACTTCCAGATGGCCACTTTAGACAGAAGGCCTACATGTGTGACAACTGATAGCTCCAGCTTTATGGCCAACTTCAGCCTGAGAAGCAGATATACAGGGGAGGTATGTCATGTTCGGAAGGCTTTCTTATCCTCATTGTGTTAAAACTATCCATATTATTTTCTGGTTGGTAATTCAAAGAACAAGGTATGGTTTCAATACAAATTTTGCCCTGTATTTTACTTAAATATGAAAGAGATGTAAGAAAATAAAACTCGTGCCTTTTGAATCATTGAAATTCCATGCAGTAAGAAGATACAAATTGCTTTGCTCAAATGACCTCCTAAATGCTAATTATGACGTCATAAACTTGTGCATTTTCCCATATTTTTAGCTCACCTGAGCCGAAGGCTCAAGTGAGCTTTTCTGATCACATTTTGTCTGTAGTCCGTCTGTCCATTCGTCTGTAAACTTTTCACATTTTCGACTTCTTCTCAAGAACCACTTGGCAAATTTCAACCAAACTTGCCACAAAGTATCCTTGGGTAAAGGGGATTCAAGTTTGTTCAAATGAAGGGCCACGCCTTCTTCCAAGGGGAGATAATTAAGAATTCGTGAAAAATTAATGGCATCATTAAAAAATCTTCTTCTCAAGAACCACTGTGCTTGAAAATATTAAACTTATGTGGAAGCATCCTCAGGTAGTGTAGATTCAAGTTTTTTCAAATCATGACCCCCGGGGGTCGGGTGGGGCCACAATGGGCGATCAGAGTTTTACATAGGAATATATTGGAAAAATCTTTAAAAATCTTCTTCTCAAGAACAGCAAAGCCATGATTGGTCATATTTACAAGGAAGCATCCTCAGGTAGTGTAGATTCAAGTTTGTTCAAATCATGACCCCCGGGGATAGGGTGGGGACACAATGGGCGATCAAAGTTTTACATAGGATTGGTCATATTTACAAGAAAGCATCCTCAGGTAGTGTAGATTCAAGTTTGTTCAAATCATGACCCCTGGGGGTCGGGTGGGGCCACAATGGGCGATCAAAGTTTTACATAGGAATATATTGGAAAAATCTTTAAAAATCTTCTTCTCAAGAACAGCAAAGCCATGATTGGTCATATTTACAAGAAAGCATCCTCAGATAGTGTACATTCAAATTTGTTCAAATCATGACCCCCGGGGATAGGGTGGGGACACAATGGGCGATCAAAGTTTTACATAGGAATATATTGGAAAAATCTTTAAAAATCTTCTCAAGAACAGCAAAGCAATGATTGGTCATATTTACAAGAAAGCATCCTCAGGTAGTGTAGATTCAAGTTTGTTCAAATCATGACCCCCAGGGTCGGGTGGGGCCACAATGGGCGATCAAAGTTTTACGTAGGAACACATAGTAAAAATCTTTAAAAAAAAAACTATTTCTTAAGAACAGCAAAGCCATGATTGGTCATATTTATATGGAAGCATTCTTAGATAGTGTACATTCAAGTTTGTTCAAACATGACCCCTGGGGGTCGGGTGGGGCTACTATGGGTGATCAAAGTTTTACATAGGAATATAGAGGAAAAATCTTTAAAAATCTTCTTCTCAAGAACAGCAAAGCCATGATTGGTCATATTTACAAGGAAGCATCCTCAGGTAGTGTAGATTCAAATTTGTTCAATTCATGACCCCCCCCCCCCCCCCCAAACCACTTTTATATTTAAACTTTTCAACCTTTCAAGACTGAACTATTTTCTGCTTTTTCCTAGCCATAGTGCTCAGGTGAGAGATGTGGCCCCTGGGCCTCTTGTCTTAAAAAGTAGCAGAAGACATCAATTTTCAGTAGAATTCTCTATAAAATAATATAAAGCAAGGGCATTGCCCACAAAGATTTTGATAAATGTGATTTTTTTAAAGGACTTTACTCAACATATCCAAAAATTAAAGTGGTAGACGGATGTGGACGCTATTTTCTTAAGGGAAAATAACCCCTGAAATGAGTCATTTTGAGGCTTTTTATGTTTAAAACTTAAAAATGTAACACATTAATGATATCATATTTCCACAATGGTCCTCCTTAATGCCATATTCTTTCATGATTTTTCACATTCATCTACTCAACTCATATTTAAGCCAATTTCATAACTTTTTAAGAACATTAAATTTTTAGGGCACCATAAAGCCCAAACCATACTTTCTTCTTAGTTTAATTTTTTTGCTATATATGAAAATGTAAAGCACTACCAGATATGCGTAGAAGTTTGAAGTTTGAATGCATGACACCTTAATAGAATTTTACATATATGATGTACGTGTAACTTGCAGGTTTCTGGGATGAAGTCCCTTTGTTCAGATCAGGAGCTTTCTAGGTTACTGGATGAAAAACTGGAGACTTCATTGAAGAGTAAAGGTAATATTTAGTATCAGTAAATAGACCTGATTTCTAGTTATTGAAAAGTTGAAGTATTTATAAAGGGTTTATAAAAAATTTGCTGAATATTCTCTTCTATGTGTATTTTGTAATATTCAGTAAGAACTGTTATTAAATCCATGAAGAATGCATTTATTATTGCAGGATATCCCATTAACCATTACTCTTTTGCATCAATCTTATATAAACATGCATGTAGTTGAGTGTGACATTGAAAAATGTCACCCCAAGAAAAGCATTGTCCACCGAGGAGCAGCCGAGGTTAAAATTGGTTTCTGAGGGGTGAAAATTTTCAATGTTACACTCAACTACATGCAATTTATTATATTATACTGAATGTTTCATACAAATACATATAACAGTGAAGTATTTGTGCATAAATTGTGTGCAGTCAATATTTTTGAATATCACCTGATATCAAGCAATGTTGACTGTTGCTATGTTCTGTCATGCTGGAGGGCATTGTTTCATCATTCAGAGGATAATGGGGTTTTTTATCAAATGTTTCTTGCTGAATCAGATTCAACTAATGTACATGAAAGTATGATATTAACACACTGCTCAACGCGTTATCGGCAATTCGGTTGTTATCGGGCATTCGGTGTAAGAAAAGCGATGTTTAGAAAACGTATGTGATTTTAAATTTCTTAATTCAATGATAATTGCGTACTCCAGCAAACAAAGTGTGTGATCTTTGGCAGATATATGATTATACTTTCAGCAGCAAAAAGCACAAACCAAATCACTCACTTTCAAAAGATCTACAGCTCTTTTAAATGATATTTTATAAAAATTTCGGAATATGTCATCACATTTTAGCTTTTTTTGAAGTCAATTTCAGCTTTTCATATTAAACAAAATAATGTATATATTCTATGGACAGTAATATACCTGTAGATAAGCAGACTAAGATCAAAAATCCAAATGAAGGGTTAGTTAACAGGCATTTAAAATGTCTCATTAGGTGAAAACATGTTATCGTCAACAAGGTTGATGTCGCCGGATAATTCGGTTTTTACGAGTGCATGTTATCAGAAACTCAGGTTAAAAAGTTTTTTTCAGCTTTAGAAATAGATTGGAAAAAAGTCCATTATAATCTGTCAATCTTTGAAAAATTCAAACGTGATGTTTTTTAAGTAATTTTTGAAAATTTTCTACCTGTCCATTGTTAGTTTTTTGATATACATGTATATAATTATATTTCTGATTTTATAATAGACCCACTTATCTGCTCAATCATTTTTCTGTTTTCCATTAAAGATAGGCACTATTGGCTTTTAGACGTAAATGTACATGTATATAACAAATCTTTAGTTTCTTTAGTTAGTCAGGTCTTACGATCTATTATGTCATTTTTGAAAAAAAAAAACATCGTCACTTCAAGTGCCCCAATGAGCTAAAAGTTTGTTTTGTCCAATGCAGAGCGAAAGCATTGTTTGTGTCAAACCATTTTAAGGTTTGAAATAAAAGAAATCAAATGAAGTGCAAATATACCGCAAAGAAATATTTCTTTCTTGTTATAACTGGGTATGAAGTAGATTAAGGAGACTATCCTTGTACAAAAACATGGTTCAGTAAAAATAAATAAAATTGACTTTAAAAAAACGTTGAACTCATTTTCCAAGCGTGAAAAATACCTGGGGGGGGGGGGGGGGGGTTGCTGGTCGATTCACTTCAATTCTTCACATGTTTAACCTTTTTAACCTTTTCTACAAACAATGATCTGCGTTTTCAATGGGGAAGGGGGTGTGCCAAAGGTTTTTTTTTAATTTACTTCACTATAAATATTCAATAACTCTGCAAATTCCAGGTGAGGTCCGAACCTCCCCGACACCCCATCCTAAATCGGAATATGAGCTCCACCTACACATTGAATTGTCTACAGATTTTTCATTCGGCCGATAAGGCAAAGAGCACACCGCAGGTGTGATCGGTCGACAGGGGATGATCCCTTCTTTGCCCCTGAACCAAGATCTGATGTTGTTAGTGTTCCGTGTTTACTCTGCTCCAAATGTATACTGTTTCAATAAACTTTTGAACTTAAATAAGTTAAGTTTTTATTTCATTAAAAATAGTTTCTTTCCGTAAGTAATGCTTTTTGTAAACTAGTTAAGTCACTTTTTTTCTCAAAAGTTGGAATTTTTGGTCATATTTGGTCTAACACCCTTTTGGAAAATTCATTTAACCACCCTTGAGTTTAGATACTTTAATTGCTTTATACCAAATTAATACATGTATGTACATGTACTTAGTTCTAACAAAAGGAACAGCAATGGTTAAGGGGAGATCAAAAATGCAAAGTCAAGGAATAAAAACGAAGCAAGGAAAACAGAAACAAAAGCGAAGAACAGTGCATAACTGGAAGGCAACACACAGAAAAACTAAGAGTAAATTACTGTGAATTCAGCAATTATTGCGATGCTTTTATATTGCGAAATAATGCAACGTAAGAATCTCAATAAATAAATTTGGCATTTGTATTTTTGTTACAACAGAGATTTATAATTCAGAGAATTAACTAATACGATATTTTCGAACACGCCAAGATCATACAGTGACATTTAAGTGATAATGAGAAATGCCAAAACATCCTTGATCAAAAAACACTCCTTTTTCTTAAAGTTATATATTCTAAAAAGAGACAAATGATATCCAGAAGTTAGAATTGTGTTCTTGCCACTTTAAATATTTAGATTTATTGAAGATTTCTGTTCTTTCTTTAGATTTTTCCTAACCTATGACAACCTTTGTTTCCGATAACTAAAACCGAAATTTCCGATAACAAAGTGAACCATTCAACCGCATTTCCGATAACATCCTGAAAGTTAAAAAAGGGCTATTTTTACCCTTTAATTACATCTTTGCGAAATTCTGACGATGTCATATCGTGGACAATAATTAATTTGAGGTAAATATGAGGATTTTGAAGAGAGGAGCTATATGCAGCAATGCCAATCGGCCAAAAACTTGCAAAATATAACAAATTTGACTTTCAAAGTCTTCTCAAGACTTACAAATACTATAATAAGATATACTCGGGCTTTATTTTGTATCTGTATTCATTCTTGTTCACAAAAAGGACAATCAACATTCTCTGTTTCTATTTTTACAGTGTTTATTTGCAACAATTTACTAACCTGTCAAAATTTGTTATCCACCGAATGCCCAATAACAACCGAATAGCCGATAACGCGTTGAGCAGTGTGATTAATAATTACTGTCTATTTTCAGAGGATGAGAAGATCATACCAGCCATGTTCAGAATCTGTGCCTTTCTGGTCAGCATACCAGGTGAGTCTGTTCTACAAAACATACAGTAATTAATTTAGGATAAAAGCAGTTAGTTATGAAAGAATCCATTTATATGTAAATAAGTGTGTGATTTAATTGTAAATCTGCACATATTATCACAAATACAGGAGTGTTCTTACTGCCTTATTGGACATTACTGAAGATGAAAGGATACTTTTTCAACTTTGCTTCAGCAGTAAAGTGTACCCTGCAGACAGAGAATTCATATCTTATGGACACTTTTCTTGTTAATTTACAGACTACCCAATTACTTTTCGTGGAATTATAATCCTTACATAAGATCCTTATAATCCTTACTTAATTAATTATAATTACAGGATTTCAATCAACAGACTTCATAATCAGTGCCTACAGATAGTTAAAATGATTGTTATATAGAGATATACATGTATACAGATTTTGAAGTCACATGCTTTAGGTCAAGGTTTAAAGGTCAAGATTATTGATAGCAGCAGTCTGTGGGGTCCTCTATGGTTTCACCAGTTTTCTTGTATTACTTTATTTTCATGTTAAAGATAAATTCATTAGGCAGTATTATTTTTAGTCTCTTATAGATATATAATATTTAGGAAGGCCTGTCTTTTATAGAAATAAACAAGCAGTTGTTACATGATCTTTGCTGGGCACCAGTTCGTAACTTTTCGGTTAAAACAATGGAGGCTGGTGTTGCATGCTGGGAATGGCTTCTAGCAGCCCGACCTGGTTCAAGTATTGAGGTAAATCAATATAAGTTCGCAGGTACAATAAAATAATAGTTGTAATGAATGTAAAAATCTGCAATAAGGAAAATGGTTCATTTCAAGAGGATATACATGTCCTGGTACATATGTTTGTACTAATGTACATGTATGTGTAAATTAATTTGGCTAATTGCTGTCAGTGACAAAGATCTATTCTGGATATTTGTTTGACCTCCAGTTTTTGTGTGAGATGGCCGCTGCCTGGCAGTGTACTGTGGACAGTAAGATGGGGATCTTTGAGGAGGACAAGAGGAGACCAGATCCCCTCGCCAAAGCTGAAAATGATGTTCTGGGTCCTGACCCTCCTTTTGGCAAACCTCATCACATTTGGACAAAGGTAATAGCTATGATATTAGTAATCATACTCTGTCATGTAAAGTTGTTTTTGGAAGGTATAATGAAATTCCAAGAATAAAAATTGTTACAATAGTCAGGTTTGTGTAGTGATAATTCTATAAAGCAAAACTTGCATTAAAAAACATGATACAGTCTTTCATCTTTGATACCTATTTTTCTGTAGTTTTTGGCAGAGAGAGTGGAGGTGGCCCGCTACAGCAGTGAAGATCAAGTCAGCATCCTCTCTAGTCTTCTTAGTAAGTCCCTGTCCATCAGTGTGGGTAGGAAACCCCCACCTATGTCCCGACACCCAGAGGCTATTGGACCCAGACTTAGGTAAGTTAAACAGGTGGTGTTCGAAAAATTTCACCTTATGACCCAACACTCGGAGGCTATAGGAACCATACTCTCGTATCTTCAGTATAGATGTATGTTTTCTTTGATGTGCACATTTGTTTCTTCATAGACTACTAAGTATGGGTCTACAACTGTTACAAGGCTCCTTCCTCCCTAACAACACCAGTAAGAGTGTCCTCAGAGAAAGGATATATGCTGCAGCACTAGACTACTTTGCGTAAGTAATGAAGTCTGCCCAGAGACACAATATGGTCTACATATTTCACATATAAAATGAGTTGTTTTTGCTTTATAAAGAGTTATTACAGAAAATGATACCTCTGATTTTAAATATGATTGCAGAAATCTATTCAAATGCCACTTATTTTGTTTCTCAGGGCAAAAAAAATTGATTTTACAACATTTTTTCATGTAATTTATTTTATCAAAGGTCCCTTAATGTACCCCTCCCAGATTTATCAATAAAGTGATTTATTTTATCAGAGGCCCCTTGATGTACCCCTCCCAGCGTGGATCAGATCTGAGAGAGGACATCAACACCATGGTCAAGTTCTGGAGACTGTTGTTTACTGATAAAAAGTACATCACTGTAAGCAAAGCAGTACCATTAGGAGGTAAGTACATCATTATATAGACAAAGGTACTGTATTTAGGTTACACTGTAAGCAAAGCAGTACCATTAGGAGGTAAGTACATCATTATATAGACAAAGGTACTGTATTTAGGTTACACTGTAAGCAAAGCTGTACCATTTGGAGGTACATGTAAGTACATCATTATATAAACAAAGGTACTTTATTTAGGTTATATTGTAAGCAAAGCAGTACCATTTGGAGGTAAGTACATCATTATATAGACAAAGGTACTGTATTTAGGTTACACTGTAAGCAAAGCTGTGCCATTTGGAGGTACATGTAAGTACATCATTATATAAACAAAGGTACTGTATTTAGGTTACACTGTAGGCAAATCTGTACCATTAGGATGTAAGTACATCATTATATAGACAGAGATATTGTATTTAGGTTATACTGTAAGCAAATCACAAAAATGTGTCAGATGAATACAGTAAAACTCAGTTATAGCGAAGTCTTGGGGACCTGCGAATTACTTTGCTATATCCTTTATTCGTTATATCCATGTAACAAGTTTGTTTAAGTATAAATAGTGAATTCGTGATTTAGAATTTTTCCTTCATGTATGACTACCAAATGTATTTTGGGAAGTATTATAACAAAGGTTACCTTGAAATTCAAACATTTTGGATGAATTGAATTTCAGATTTAAAATACTTACAAAAAAAAGTCAGTTCAATATTTGAAAAATTGAGATCTTTAAAAAATTACTATTAATAAAAGATGTAAATTTCGTTATTTTTTACCTCTAGGGGACACAAATTCTGTTCGCTATATCCATAAATTCGCTATATCCGTGTTCGTACTTAAAGAGTTTTACTGTAATTCATTTTCAACAATATTGTAGAAGTTTTTTTTTTAAATAATGATATGCGTTTTCTGATTTCTTGTTTTAATATTTTAGAATTGTCTCTTTATACTCATGATGATCTTTTTCAGCTGTTCCAGATGAGACTCAGAGACAGGATTCCTTGGGGCTTTCCCAGTCTGGGGGAATCCCCTCAGACCTCTTACAGGGAAAGTGGATCAATCTGACATTGAATTCTGGAATGTCCACCAACTCTAAAAGATCTGCCAGTAAGTTTTGTTTGATGCCCTTAGTTATTCCCCCTGCATAATAGCCTTATTTTGTGGCTTCAGGGTAGTATACATGTATATGTATGTTGTGTTATTTATATCTACATGTAAATGTATCCACAAATTTTGATAATACATGTACATGTATTAAAGATATCTTAAACAGTGTGTTCAATCGAAGTCCATAATCATACACAGTAAAAAAAAATTGAAACTTAATTATTTTGTGTTGCAGTACCTACTGGTGTTATCTTTTCAATTCAAAGTCACAGTTATTGATAAATAAGACACACACTTCTTTGTATACTTAAAATTATTTAGACTACAGAATACTGTGTTTCCAATGAATCAGAAGCATGTATTTTAGATCTTAAGTAATTGATAAGTTTGAGTTAACCATAGAACATTTAGATTTTATTAGATCTTTTGTTAAAATATGACCAATCAGTGCCTGTTTGATTTGACCAATCAGTGCCTGTTTGATTTGTCCAATCACTGCCTGTTTGATTTGACCAGTCAGTGCCTGTTTGATTTGACCAATCAGAGCCTGTTTGATTTGACCAATCAGTGATGATTTGAGTTTGTTGTAGTTTACCTAGATCCTGCTAGGCACAGGAACAGTTTTGTTATGGGCCTGTATGGTCCTATTGAGAAATCTCACCTGGGTTACAACACTCTCCAAGGGGAGGGCAAGTATCTGTGTTTGGCGCCAGTCTAACTTGAGCACAAAATGCTGACTTATGTAGAATCGAGATTTACTTGTGGATAAAAATATGAATTAACAATTTCAGTAGCAGTCGATAGAATAACACTAAGGATGTAGTCTTATCCACATTCAGACTGTTCAACACAGACAGAGAGATATAAATTGAGTGTGCTGGGCCTCAGAACTGTAGTTAGATACAAAGAAAAAGAATATGATATGTACACAACCAGAGAACCATAAAGGAATGAAATTAAGCTTACAATTGCACGTGTTGTAAGGTTGTCCATTAAAAAAAAAAATTTTTCAACAGAAAACATTTCTCTTGTATACATATACTAGCTTTCAAGGAGCCAACAATTCAACCTAAAAATATCTGTTTTGTAGTCAAAGTCCTGTATACATGTAGATAATGATGACAATCCATTGATAAATTATTTTAAATACTGAATAGATTGTATGAGACTCTGTGTGATTGAAATAAGAATGACATGAGAAGACTACATCCTCCAGTGAACTAAAACTAATGAGTATGTCTCAAGTTAGCAGTGGCACAAGTTCCAGAATGAAGAATGGTGTCCTCTTGTCCAACTTGTATTGTCAGATTGTCTGATACCAAATCTGTGTTACGATATGTTGGAAAAACTGTCTGACCTGATTTGCATGAGATTTTAACTCCGATGTTTTTACTTCAACTAACTTATCATAGCTGATACCTGCTTGCAGTGTTATAGTCGTATATTTTAGAAGTAGAACTCACAGTTTTAATTAGAAGTGTTTTAGCCATTAAAATTGCTTTCGTTTTTATCTTTAGAACAATTGGTTTTCATCTGATTTTCAGGTCTTGTCAATATGTATTACACATTGATATATACAATTAAACAGATTCTCATATTTCATATAAATCATAATACAAACTAATATCCCAACTCTGACTTGCAGGTCTTGTTAGTGTGTTTGGGGACACACTTGTGCGCCGTACGTTAATGCACTGCCATATATATCTATCATTTTCTATTGATTATTCATTCCATCTACGCAACAATCATCAACTGTCATTCTGTGTGAATCTATGAACTTACATTCAATTTTCAGTTCAAATTCCAATTGTGTGATTTTTTTAAAAAATAAAACTAAGTAAGGAATGAGACTAAGGAAGGAATTTTTGTATAACAAAAATTGTTTCATGTTCAGTAGAGTTTCATGTTTATATATAAAGATTCTTTACTGAAATTTTTGTTATTTCAATATCATGCATATAATGGATCTGTGAGATACAAAAGCTTAGAAGCACCACTTGGAGAGAAAAAAAAAAAAAACAGAAGATTTTCTTGTAACAATGAGAAAATTATTTTGTTTTTAGAAGAGTTAATTCTCATCATAAACAGATAAGATTTTTTGTAATTACAAAAAGATCACATAATAAATTATTCCTTAATCAGGATAATTTTTTTATAATTGAGAGAAAAAATTCTCCTTATAATGGGTAAATTATTTTATTATTATGAAGAAATGTCTTGTTATAATGAGAAAAGGATTGTTCAAGTCTGTGTTATAGACTTGAATGTTTAATACTTATTTTTATGTAATACAAATGGAAAGGGAGACTTTTCATACTTATTGGGTCTCCACAAGGAGAGAAGTATCATGGACGTTAACTGTGGTTTTGAAGATATATCATCATTAGATGAAGTGTATAGTGTACATGAAGTGTATATTCTGTCTAATTTTGAATTGTTTACATAAAATGCATGCGACTGGGTTATTGCGGTGGATGTTGGCATCTTAACAGCATGCAGGTTTACAGTTTACCTCTGGTATACAATAGATGTATGAGACATTAAATGTTTTGTGTGAATACATCTGTGCATGATACATGTTTGATAGTTAGGAACACTTGCTTTCATACATGTAAATAACAATCAAAACAAGGGAGATAAATTTGAATCAAGACTCTGTATAGGAAAAAAAAAACAGTTATAAGTGATATACAGTCAAACTTATTTATCTCAGACTCAATGGGACTGAGGAAAAACTTCAAGATATCCAAGGATTCAAGATATTCAGGGTAAAATACTTAAAGAATAAGGGGTTGGGACTTGCAAATTGCTTCAACATATCCATGGTATTTGAGATATCAGTGTTCGAGATATCAAAGTTCAACTGTAACTTATAATAAGATATTTTTTGTTATAGCAAGGTATTTTCTTGTTGTTTTTTTTTTTTTTTTGCTTTTTACTAGTTATAATGAAACCTTTTCACATTATTTTGAGATCTTTTCTCATAATAATGAGACAATTCTCTTGTTATCATATTGATAACCTCGACTAATTTTTATTGTAAAGTGAAATTCCTCAGCTCTTGTATGAATGGTGCAAAAGAAAACAAAAGATAAGAAGAAATTTTTAAACATTTTATTAATTTTTAATCTTTGAATTCCACGTGACCTTTTTTTAAAGGTCAGTCTCAGATTCGTGAGTCCAGACATTTATATGGTAAATTCTGGGAATATCCCTATTCTGTCATCTGAATGTTGCATTATTGTCTAAGCCCTGATTTCTTTTAGTAAACTTTCCTTTTTTTACAATGATTTCTAATGTTGCATGAAAGGGAGAGTAATGGACTACTGATAATGCTGTTTTCTATAGAGTATGTTATAAAGGAGAAGAGTTTTGCAATATAAAGAAAAGTTCATACTAAAAGTTGAAATGGAATACTTTTGCATTTAATGGCCATAACACAATATGGCAAATTACTAAAAAGAAAATTAATGATATACAGTAAAACACGCTTATCGCAAACATGCTTATAATGAATTAACACTAAGTAAAGTGATTTTCATTCCCAGTGGCTTTAAAACATATTGTGATACTAATGGATATAAAAGAATTACATTTATAATGAAGCAAAATTGTCCATCCCTGGTACTGCGTTATAAGCTTGTTTTACTGTATTTGACTTGAGTCTTCATCATTGTGGCAATCTATTCAGATAATTAAGCCATATAAAGATGTCCATTGTTGGGATGGAATGTGAATAAGATATTGTGAATCAAGTACAGCATACATTAAGATAGACTGGTCCTCTATCATCATGTCACTATGTATGCATGCCCCCTGTGATTTCTTTGTAAAATAATTATGGAATGTTCTCAAAATTTTATGGAATGTTCAGTGAAACTTGTCTAATCGGGATGTTGTGTATTCCAAAATCTTGTCTAAAATGATGTAAACTTTAAGTCCCTATCAGTAAATTCAGTTGTTTAAATTTGTATAATCTGGAATGTTGTCTACTCCGTCCAATTTCTATTGAACCAGTGGTATTCAGATTAGACAAGTTTTACTGTTAGTAAATCTTGACAGAGTTCATTCTTGTATCATCATATTTGTTTGATATTTAACTTTTCTCAATGCTTGAGCATTATTAGGGTAGTTACTACCAAGCTTGTTTGAATAATAATCTTTGATATGTGAGTATTTGTTTCATAAATTCTGATGTGATATTACTGGGAATGAGAACCACTTTAATATATACTTATAATTACAAAACTGAATGATACGATAAAGACCTAAAGTAAACAATCCTAAACATACTGATCAGTTATTAAATTAAAACTAATTTTCTATCTTCTTGTCTTCCTTTTTTTACTTCAGAGGAACATAATTGCAATTAAATCTACTATTCTTGTACCAACAGTATTAATACACTGCTTAATGTAAACTGTATAATCCACCCACATTTGTTGTAACCATGCTTATTCTGTCTGTTAATAGGTGCTAAGAAAAGTCCAGGACAGAGCACAAGTTACATCAAAGAGTATGCCAGGAAGAGGAACCTAATTCTGCTACTCCTAGTAAGTCACAATACTACTAACTACTCTTTTGTCAAATTACCATGTAACATTACTACACTCGTTGTCACAATACTACACATGTCTATGTAAGTTACACATATGTCGATCAGTACTACACAAGAAAACATTGATGTTGCCATCAATTGTTGTCTGGGAAAATTCTTCCGATAACAATGGAAATTAGTCTTGATCATCAAACTTCTTCGATTTGTGTGATAAAAGCATGCATCTGAATGATCTAGACTATAGTCGAGAGGATTTATGGAAAGCTTCTAATTTATGGTATACACATTTATCATAAGAATATCTAGGTCAAGTTCTGTTTTGAGTAGATGTCCCCTGTAGATTTCAAGTTCAAAAGGTCAATTTCATTTCCATGTACACTGCCAATAATGTATACTGCCCGTAATGGGGGGGGGGCATAAGTGTTTCACAAACATCTCATAATTGTTTCAAACTAAAATAAACTACAGTACTGTACACCAGTATTGGAATACTACACTCATGCTGCAATACTATATACATATCACATTCACTCAATGAGGGAAGTATTGTGACAAGTGTAAGCTCTGTAAGTGAAGTATCATGAGTCATTCATGTCACAAAACTCCATTTACAGAATATTTTGCTGTAAAAAAAGAGGGAGCATATACTGATTTCCAAGAATCTTTTGGTATACATACATAAATTTATTATATATAAAGAGAGAGAGAGAGCAGTGATATACTTTAAAAATCCTTTGATGAGACATCTGCTCTTTTGTCTCAGGCCAATCTGATTGACGCCTTCAGTACGTGGAACAACCCTTTAGAACTGGCAGAGAACAAGATAAAAGATGAAGACAAGGTAGCTCTGTGGAGAACCAACCCTATCTCAGAGAGACAATGGAGAGAGTATGCACGCATTGCATGGGACATCTCACCTGTGTTGGCTGTGTACTTACCTCCCAGGTAAGACCCTCACCTAGGTTTGTTATGTAACAACTCCCCACAACCTAACCCCACCCCATCCCCACCCCCAGAAAAAGTCATAATAGGAGGCCAATGAGCCACAATGCTCACCTGAGTATCTTGAACCTGTTATTCTTTAAAAGAGATAAATTTTCTAATGTAAAATGTGAATCCTTCCTGCACAGGAATGCTTACATACATGTATCAGTATGCCTTTGTATGATCATTATATTCTTGAACAAAAAAGATTTTCCTAAAACATATATTTCTCTGTAAAATATTGACCCCATCTGGTTCATCCAAAATTTTGAACTACCTTTAATCTGTATTATGGGATACTTCTATGTATATCAATGGCCCTGATGTTCTTTAGAAAAAAATTTTAAGTGTTTGGTTCCAAATTGTGGCCACATTGAAGGAGGGTTTGGCTCTTCAAACCCCAGTGACCCAAGGGATCATTATAGAAAGATTGGCTGAAATTTGCCCGATGGTTCTGGAGAAAAAGCTTAAAGGATGACAGACAGATGCCTGCACTCTTTGATTATAAAAACTTGTTTCAAAATTTGGCTCAGGTATGTACCTCAGGTTCATAAGCAGTATTTACTTTTTTACAAATTGTTACTATTGATTAACAGGATGAAAACGTCGGAGACCCTGAAGAGAGAGGTGATGCGGCTAGTGAGGCTGAACCCAGGGGCCGTGAGACACATCCCTGATGCCATCCACTTCCTGGTGTCAGCTCAGAGTGTAGAGGCAGATTCACCAGAGGTAAAAAAGATCAGAAGATAAGTCTTATTTAAATAAAATTAGCTCTCTTGACAACTCTGTATGACACACTGCACGTGAAATAACATTAGGACATTGTAGTGAGGATATAAGGATCATATCCCACCACTTTATCTGTGACATCATGACTAATGGTTAAAAAAAAAGATTTCTTGGCTATAAAAATAGAGCTTCCAACTGTTTTATTTTTGTTCATAACTTGCACTTTTCTTGTAACTGAGTCATTGTTAGCTGAGTTGACGTGGTGCCAGGTGGCCCCTGATGTAACCCTGCATTGTTCACTGATAACTTACACATTCTTTCTTTTGTAGCTGAGTCATGTGTTAACGTGGTGCCAGGTGGCCCCTGATGTAACCCTGCATTGTTCACTGATAACTTACACATTCTTCTCTTTCGTAGCTGAGTCATGTGTTAACTTGGTGCCAGGTGGCCCCTGGTGTAACCCTGCATTGTTCATTGATAACTTACACATTCTTTTCTTTTGTAGCTGAGTCATGTGTTAACGTGGTGCCAGGTGGCTCCTGGTGTGGCCCTCTCTTACTTCTCCAGACAGTACCCCCCACATCCACTGACTGCCCAGTTTGCTGTTCGAGTTCTGAGGTCACACCCACCAGTAAGATCTTGTTTCTATCAGAAACAAAGAATGAATCCTCTTTTGCAATTTTTTTCCCTCACCGCAGTTCAGTTTCTACTGTGAATAATTTCATTTGTAATATAGATGTTATGTAATCAGCTAAACTTCTCTTATATATGCAAGTATGATTGTAAAGCCGTATTATGTATAGATGTACACATCTAACCTTTAGACATTGTTTGCATAAGATATAAAGCAGATGAAAGAAATTAAACAAAGGTTAATACCGTTATGAAACATTATTATTGCTTTATTCATGTGACATTATTTTTTATCTTCCAATTGATATATAGTTTTAAGTTATTTCCCCTGATAATGAATACATATGTACTTAATTGAGATAACCATGCTTAATTATTAGAAAATTACTAATTAAAAGTATTAATCAAAGACTAGAACAGACCTGATGGTTATTGTTTAGATAAAGTTTTCCTTTCTCTGTATTTTCTGTGACACTGTGTATTTTTTCAGGAGGCCCTCCTTTTCTACATCCCACAGATTGTACAGGCTTTAAGATACGACACAGTAAGTATACGACACAGTAAGTATCCAACAGACAGACTTGTACAGGCTTTAAGATACGACACAGTAAGTATCCAGCAGACAGACTTGTGCAGGTTTTAAGATACGACATAGTAAGTATCCAACAGACAGACTTGTACAGGCTTTAAGATACGACATAGTAAGTATCCAACAGACAGACTTGTACAGGCTTTAAGATACGACACAGTAACCAACAGACAGACTTGTACAGGACCTAAAATACAATACAGCAAATATAAATCACTTTATTTGGAATGATTTAAACATTTCTAGATTTCTAAGCATTGAATTTGTATTTTTGGATGTCGTTGGTCATATAACAGCACCTGGCCTTGTCGACAAATTGAATATTGCATGTTAATTTAATGCTTATATTAATACATGTGTAATGTTGTAGATGGGCTATGTAGCTGATGTATTTTGTAATGTTGTAGATAGGCTATGTGGCTTATGTACATGTATTTATATAACATTATACAGTAAAACTGTTGTAGCAAAGTTCTGGGGACCTTCAAATTTACTTTGTATAATATCGTAATTTGTTATATCAGTATATATCTGTAAAATAAATTCCTTAAAGTATACATAGCGAATTCGCAATATGGATTTTTTTCATTAAAGTATGACTAATTTAATCATACTTAAAGTATTTTAGGAATGTATAAAATACAACATTTAACTTGGAGTTAAATTAATGTTAGTTCAATATTTTAAAAAATTTAGATCTTGAAAATTCAATTTGGCTATAAAATATGTAAATTTCATTATTCTTAACTTCTAGAGGACACAAAATCAGTTTGCTTTAACCATAAATTCCCTATATCTGAGTTTGTTATATTAATAATATTTTTACACGGAATTGTTAAGAATTTCGCTGGGAATTGCAAAAAACTTTGCTATATCCATAAATTCACTATATCCGTGTTCGTACCAAATGAGTTTTAATGTGGGCTATGTGGCTGATATAATTATATAACACTGTAGATGGGCTATGTGGCTGATGTATTCATATAACATTGAAGATGGGCTATGTGGCTGATGTATTTATTGAATGTTGTAGATGGGCTATGTGGCTGATGTATTTATTGAATGTTGTAGATGGGCTATGTGGCTGATGTATTTATTGAATGTTGTAGATGGGCTATGTGGCTGATGTACGAGGGCCGTTCAAAAATTACGCGGACTTGTTGCACAGAAAACATATTTGACGACATAATCAATCAAAAAGTCATAAATGATATAAAAGAATCTTTTCAGATATGATCATAAAAATTTCATATCAAAATATTGTAAATTGGTATCAATTTCAAGTGATTTAACAGGACATGTCATGAAGTCACGGCGCAGTAAAACTTTCAACATTTCGGGCATTTTAAAAAATGGGAGCTTTCATTTTCTCAATATTTCCCTTAGTATTTGTTACTGTATAGTTTGGGTTACTTTAACCACTCAAAATAAACATCCATATATCATTTCCAATTCAGCTTAAGAACTATAAAACTATTATTGTGTGTTTTAGTTTGTGTTAAACCCCAAAACTGCAGATATTTCTGAAGTAAAGTTTGATCTCAGTCGATCTCAATCACATTCTTAACAGCCCAGATCAGTGTTTTGTCGATGAACTTCTTCCATCCATCCCGGATTGCCTTTTCACTGAGGTCTAACAGTCTAAAATTCTTTTTTACATGTTGTAGAGATGTGTCGGATATTCCTCTGGTTTACTACATGTTTCATTAGGATTATTTTAGGTGTCTATTGGCGTTTTCCCAGCATGATTCATGATTTGATAAAAGTGCGCTGCTCCGTCAAATCACAAGACGTCATTTTTGCAGTTGATTTCGTAGGGGTCACATCGGAGAAAAATTACAATCTTTCTGTTAGTACTTCAAATATTACGCCAGAAATCAAAATACTTAATAATAAAACAATAAAAAGAATTTTTAGAGAAAATTGTTGAATAATATCGTGAAATATGGAAAATAAATGAATAAAATTTTGGATACCGCATGTTTGGTTTTCAACATTTTTGCCATGCTCCATATATCACCATCAGCAGTATCAAAACGGCAATAATTTTATGAGATATTAAATAAAATTTAAAAAATTACCAAGAAGTTATTGGAATTTTTCAGAAATATGTTCTTGTGAAATTTCAATTCTATATGACGTCTATAAGAGTAAATAATAGCAGAGTCCGTGTAATTTTTGAACGGCCCTCGTATTTATTGAATGTTGTAGATGGGCTATGTGGCTGATGTATTTATATAACATTGTAGATGGGCTATGTGGCTGGTGTATTTATATAACATTGTAGATGGGCTATGTGGCTGATGTATTTATTGAATGTTGTAGATGGGCTACATGGCTGATGTATTTATATATTGTATTTATTTTACGTGGCTGATGTATTTATATAACATTGTAGATGGGCTATGTGGCTGATGTATTCATATAAAATTGTAGATGAACTATGTGGCTGATGTATTTATTGAATGTTGTAGATGGGCTACGTGGCTGATTTCGTGATGTGGGCAGCTAAGACCTCTTCCCTTTTAGCTCATCAGTTATTGTGGAACATGCAGACAAATGTTTACAGGGACGAGGAAGGCACAATCAAAGATGGTGAGCAACGTGTGTTCAGTAGTATAAATTTTGAAGCATAAGCTTTTGTTCTTAAAATAGTATTGTAATCATGCTTCTGTGTCAGTAAATCTGTAACTTTGACATCTTTACAGAGGAAATTGGAGAGGAAATGGAGTTACTGATGAAAAAGATGAAAGAATCCTTTTCTGGTCCTGCCAGGAAATTTTATGAGAGAGAATTTGACTTCTTTGGAAAAATTACTGCCATATCAGGCATCATTAAGTAGGTCATACACATACATTGCTGGGTATCCACAGCTAGTAAATCTAATATGTGCTTCATTTTTATAGTTTGAAATTTTATAGAATATGTATGATATGAATGTTGCTAAAATGCAACATATTTGCTTTTGAATTAAGAATTCTTTGAAAGTTGCATGATTGTCCATAAATTTCAGTGTGCATACTGATTATTTCATGTATTAATTCTTTGAGTTCCTGTTATGTAAGTCGATGCATCTGATTTTTCCAATGATAACTCTGTAGACCATATCCCAAAGGAGACGAGAGAAGGAATGCTTGCTTACGAGAACTGAGGAAGATTGAATTACAAAAGGGTAATTACATTATTAAACTAATGAATAACTGGTATTATTTTTAGCTCACCTCGACGAAGTCGAGATGAGCTTATGCTATACCCCCGGCGTTGGCGTCGGCGTCGGCGTTAGCGTCGGCGTCCCGGTTAAAGTTTTAGGAGCAAGTCCCATTCCCAAGTAACTATAAGCCCTACCTTGACCAAACTTGCATGGATGATGCATCTAGGGATGGACACTACCACACTTGCTTCGGATGCTGGATATGACCTAGATTTTCCAGATGATTGACCAGGTTAAAGTTTTTGGAGCAGGTCCATTCCCAAGGAATTATAAGCCCTACCTGGACCAAACTTGCATGGATGATGCATCTAGGGATGGACACTACAACACTTGCTTCGGATGCTGGATCTGACCTAGATTTTCCAGATGAGTGACCAGGTTAAAGTTTTTGGAGCAGGTCAATTCCCAAGTAACTATAAGCCCTACCTGGACCAAACTTGCATGGATGATGCATCTAGGGATGGACACTACAACACTTGCTTCGGATGCTGGATCTGACCTAGATTTTCCAGATGAGTGACCAGGTTAAAGTTTTTGGAGCAGGTCCATTCCCAAGTAACTATAAGCCTTACCTGGACCAAACTTGCATGGATGATGCATCTAGGGATGGACACTACCACACTTGCTTCGGATGCTGGATCTGACCTAGATTTTCCAGATGAGTGACCAGGTTAAAGTTTTTGGAGCAGGTCCATTCCCAAGGAATTATAAGCCCTACCTGGACCAAACTTGCATGGTTGATGCATCTAGGGATGGACACTACAACACTTGCTTCGGATGCTGGATCTGACCTAGATTTTCCAGATGAGTGACCAGGTTAAAGTTTTTGGAGCAGGTCAATTCCCAAGTAACTATAAGCCCTACCTGGACCAAACTTGCATGGATGATGCATCTAGGGATGGACACTACCACACTTGCTTCGGATGCTGGATATGACCTAGATTTTCCAGATGAGTGACCAGGTTAAAGTTTTTGGAGCAGGTCCATTCCCAAGTAACTATAAGCCTTACCTGGACCAAACTTACATGGATGATGCAGATTGGGATGGACACTACCACACTTGCTTCGGATGCTGGATCTGACCTAGATTTTCCAGATGAGTGACCAGGTTAAAGTTTTTGGAGCAGGTCCATTCCCAAGTAACTATAAGCCCTACCTGGATCAAACTTGCATGGAGGATGCATTTAGGAATGGACACTACCACACTTGCTTTGGATGCTGGATATGACCTAGATTTTCCAGATGGGCCACTAGGTTAAAGTTTTTGGAGCAGGTCCATTCCCAAGTAACTATTAGCCCTACCTTGACCAATCTTGCATGGATGATGCATCTAGGGATGAACACTACCACACTTGCTTCGGATGCTGGATCTGACCTAGATTTTCCAGATGAGTGACCAGGTTAAAGTTTTTGGAGCAGGTCCATTCCCAAGTAATTATAAGCCCTACCTGAATCAAACTTGCATGGAGGATGCATATAGGGATGGACACTACCACACTTGCTTTGGATGCTGGATCTGACCTAGATTTTCCAGATGGGTCACTAGGTTAAAGTTTTTGGAGCAGGTCCATTCCCAAGAAACTATTAGCCCTACCTTGACCAAACTTGCATGGATGATGCATCTGGGGATGGACACTACCACACTTGCTTCAGATGCTGGATCTGACCTAGATTTTCCAGATGAGTGACTAGGTTAAAGTTTTTGGAGCAGGTACCCAATTATAAGCCCTACCTGGACCAAACCTGCATGGATGATGCATCAAAGGAAGGACTCTACCATACTTGCTTCAGATGCTGGATCTGACCTACATTTTCCAGATGAGTGACTAGATTAAAGGTTTGGGAGCAGGTCTATTCCCAAGTGATTATTTAAGCCTTACCTTGACCAAACTTTCGTGGATAATGCATCTAGGGATGGACGCTACCACACTTGCTTGGGATGCTGGATCTGACCTAGATTTTCCAGATGAGTGACCAGGTTAAAGTTTTTGGAACAGGTCCATTCCCAAGTAACTAAAAGCCCTACCTGGACCAAATTTGCATGGATGATACATCTAGGGATAGACACTACCATATTTGCTTCAGATGCTGGATCTGACCTAGATTTTCCAGATGATTGATCAGGTTAAAGTTTATTTGGAGCAGGTCCATTCCCAAGTAAATATAAGCCCTACCTGGACCAAACTTGCATGGATGATGCATCTAGGGATGTACACTAACTAACCTGCTTTGGATTCTGGATCTGACCTAGATTTTCCACATGAGTGAATTTTAGCCATATTTTAACCAAATTAGCATGAATGATGATGTATCTAGAGATGGACAGTTCCAGACTTACTTTGGATTCTGAATCTAATATTGATGGATATTAATCTTGGAATGTACACTAACTAGGAAAAAAATATGATGTGAGATTTACCTTACTTATAGATAACATTCGTCGAGGTGAGCTTAGTAATCTTTGATTACCTATGTTTTTATTTTGTATGGTCACATCTTATTGTCATAATTTTATGATATTTCAGGTTGTTACCTGCCTTCAAACCCTGAGGCAATAGTTACAGAGATTGACAAGAACTCAGGCATACCATTACAAAGGTACCATCTTGTGCCTTCTAAGTGCAAAATACTACCAAAAAAAATCTCACATTTTAAGCAGGTTTTTTTTTTTCAAGATTTCTGAGATCAAAAGGAAGTCCAAAAATCAACTCCCTCCTTGGGGTCTATAATTTTATTTAAAATGAATAGATAAATTGTATACTACACATTCTAAAGAAGAAATTCTGTTGATCACGTGTAATGAAACAAATGTTTTAGTGCGGCTAAAGCTCCTTTTTTGGCTCGCTTTCGTGTTAAACGCTGTGGAGTTCATGACCTTGAGATGCTGGGGATGAGTGACGAGGATAACCCTGCCATTAGTACATCAGCAGAGTATTGGCAGGCAGCCATTTTCAAAGTAGGAGATGATGTTAGACAGGTAACTGTCATATAATTCTGTTATTTATAGAGTTTGTATGACAGAATAGAAAACAATTTATCACATGTTTACCAATTTATCCCATGGATATCACTCTTTGGATATTTTTTCATATCCCACTGCTGTGACTTCAAAATGGTTTTTGCGTGAAAGTAATGAAGTAAAATTATGTCGATTCATAATGACAAAATTATGTTGATTCATGTATAAAAACAGTGTAAACATTGAAAGTTATCCATGAAACGTGATAAAATGAATCTCCCATAATTTGTAGTTGGATATGATTAGAAACCAACTCGTGTGATTTTTGTCTCCTCGCCAAGGCTCAGGGATAAAAACACACAACTCGTTGGATAAAAATTGTATCCAACCTCAAATGGGAGATCCTACTGTATATATACTAAATGCTCCCTGTATCTTTCAGGACATGTTGGCCCTTCAGGTGATATCTTTGTGTAAGAACATATTTGAACAGACTGGGTTGGAGTTGTACCTGGTGCCATACAGAGTTGTCGCCACTGGACCAGGGGTAGGTTTTGTTTGGATCCAGGAAAAGGCATCAAAATTGAAATTTCTTGTAAACATGGGGGGGGGGACTATTCCTTACTCTGAGTTGTGAATTTACTGGATAATACATATTATGTATACTTGCATGTATATTTGTCATTTGAGATTTGAGCTTTGTTCTAATGTACTTTACAGTGTGGTGTGATTGAATGTGTTCCCAACAGTAAATCCAGAGATGAAATTGGTAAGAAGACAGACATTACATTGTATGACTATTTCCAGAAAACTTTTGGAGATGAGGATACTCCAGAATTCCAGGCTGTGAGTTCTGTTTGTTCTTTAGTTATTGTACATGAACATTTACTATTGTCAAGCAGTAAATGAATTTATGTATATGTACAGTGAAACTTGTCAAATCTGGATGTTGAGTATTCCAAAATCTTGCCTAATATGATTTTAACTTTAAGTCCTTCATTGTTTAAAATACTGTCTTATCCGGAATGTTGTCTACTACGGCAAGTTTCTATGGAACCAGTGGTGCCCAAATTAGACAAGTTTTGCTGTATGTGTATTTGTTTTACTTGTATTTTCATATTTTTATATTTGTAGAAATTGAATCAAGACTGAATTTATTTTCAGGCTCGTCGTAACTTTGTGGTCAGCATGGCAGCCTACAGTTTGGTGACATTCCTTCTACAGATAAAGGACAGACACAATGGCAATCTGATGATAAATAATACAGGCCACCTCATACATATAGGTAAAAAATATAGATAAAGGACAGACACAGCAACAAACAGATGGTAAATAATACAGGTCATCTTATACATCTAGGTAAAAAAAAATATTGATAAAGGACAGACACAATGGCAGTCAGATTCGGGTAAACAATACAGGCCATTTCATACATATAGGTAAAATATATAGAAAGGACAGACACAATGGCAATCTGAAGATAAATAATGCATGCCATACATATAGGTAAAAAAAAATATAGATAAAAGACAGACACAACAGTAAACTGGTGATAAACAATACAGAACATCTCATAGGTAAAAAAAATCTGAAAAAATTTATAGATTGTTAAAAGTTCCAAGTCAAAGAGGAGGCCAGTAAGGTGTAAGAGATGTGTCAATTTCTTTCTCAGACACAGATTCACTGTCTAAAATCTTGCAACCCCATATACACTAACAACTAAGGATGTTTTCTGCTTTCAGATTTTGGCTTTATGTTTGAGAGTTCTCTTTGTTTTTGTTTCAGATTTTGAGTTTATGTTTATGAGTTCTCCTTTCTGTTTCAGATTTTGGCTTTATGTTTGAGAGTTCTCCTTTCTGTTTCAGATTTTGAGTTTATGTTTGAGAGTTCTGGTTTCTGAGAGTTCTCCTTGTTTTTGTTTCAGATTTTGGCTTTATGTTTGAGAGTTCTCCTTGTTTCTGTTTCAGATTTTGGCTTTATGTTTGAGAGTTCTCCTGGTGGTAACCTAGGCTGGGAGCCTCATTTTAAGTTGACGGATGAGATGGTGAACATCATGGGAGGGACAATGGAGGCAGCTCCATTCCAGTGGTTTATGGAGCTTTGTGTCCAGGGGTACTTGGCTGTCAGGTAAAATGATAAACAATAAACCTTATATTAACTGCTTTATGTGTGGGGCATAATATGAGAAGCTGAAGCAATTTTGGGCTCAAGTTTCCTAAAACAATGATTTCTTGGGTACAGATTATGAGGCAAAGATAATTACCTGCTGAAAAGTTTGAAAACAAAATTTTAAGGCATGATGTGATGTACAGTACCTTTAGACACATTATTGTTAGTTTGATGTAAAGCCACTTATCGTAAAACTTTTTTCCTTTCTTGTTGGTTTGAAATAAAGCAAAACCAGACAGTGTCTCTAATCTTCTCTGTTACCTGTTTACAGGCCATATCAGGAGACCATCATTACATTAGTGTCTCTGAACTTCTCTGTCACCTGTTTACAGACCATTACATTAGTGTCTCAAATCTTCTCTGTTACCTGTTTACAGACCATATCAGACCATTACATTAGTGTCTCTAATCTTCTTTGTATCTGTTTTCAGACCATATCAGACCATTACATTAGTGTCTCTAATCTTAACTGTTACCTGTTTACAGGCCATATCAGGAGACCATCATTACATTAGTGTCTCTGAACTTCTCTGTTACCTGTTTACAGACCATATCAGGAGAACCAGCATTACATTAGTGTATCTGAACTTCTCTGTCACCTGTTTACAAACCATTACATTAGTGTCTCAAATCTTCTCTGTTACCTGTTTACAGGCCATTTCAGGAGACCATCATAACATTAGTGTCTCTAATCTTCTCTGTTACCTGTTTACAGGCCATATCAGGAGACCATCATTATATTAGTATCTCTAATCTTCTCTGTTACCTGTTTACAGGCCATATCAGGAGACCATCATTACTTGAGTGTCTCTAATCTTTTCTGTTACCTGTTTACAGGCCATATCAGGAGACCATCATTACATTAGTGTCTCTAATCTTCTCTATTACCTGTTTACAGGCCATATCAGGAGACCATCATTACTTTAGTGTCTCTAATCTTTTCTGTTACCTGTTTACAGGCCATATCAGGAGACCATCATTATATTAGTATCTCTAATCTTCTCTGTTACCTGTTTACAGGCCATATCAGGAGACCATTATTACATTAGTGTCTCTAATCTTCTCTGTTACCTGTTTACAGGCCATATCAGAAGACTGTCATTACATTAGTGTCTCTGAACTTCTCTGTTACCTGTTTACAGGCCATTTCAGGAGACCATAATAACATTAGTGTCTCTAATCTTCTCTGTTACCTGTTTACAGGCCATATCAGGAGACCATCATTATATTAGTGTCTCTAATCTTTTCTGTTACCTGTTTACAGGCCATATCAGGAGACCATCATTACATTAGTGTCTCTAATCTTCTCTATTACCTGTTTACAGGCCATATCAGGAGACCATCATTACTTTAGTGTCTCTAATCTTTTCTGTTACCTGTTTACAGGCCATATCAGGAGACCATCATTACATTAGTGTCTCTAATCTTTTCTGTTACCTGTTTACAGGCCATATCAGGAGACCATCATTACATTAGTGTCTCTAATCTTCTCTATTACCTGTTTACAGGCCATATCAGGAGACCATCATTACTTTAGTGTCTCTAATCTTCTCTATTACCTGTTTACAGGCCATATCAGGAGACCATCATTACATTAGTGTCTCTAATCTTTTCTGTTACCTGTTTACAGGCCATATCAGGAGACCATCATTACATTAGTGTCTCTAATGCTGGACACAGGACTGCCATGTTTCAGAGGTCAGACCATCAAACAACTGAGGGACAGATTTCAGCCAATGGCAACGGAGCGTGAAGCTGCAGAGTTCATGAAGAGAATCATCAAGGAGTGCTTCCTGAGCTGGAGGGCTAAGTCTTACGACTGGATACAGTTCTACCAACAAAACATCCCCTACTGATAAGTATTACAACTGGATACAGTTCTACCAACAAAACATCCCCTACTGATAAGTCTTACGACTGGATACAGTTCTACCAACAAAACATCCCCTACTGACAAGTCAACAGCCTTTCACAACCAAGGAGTTTGTGGCAGTTAAAGACCTCGATGATAGATTATTTGAGTAACTTTGTCTTTGTTTAAGGAATGTTGTCTTGGCATTTGGACAAATATTTCAGTTATCATTGTCATCAATGTTATAACTAAAACATTAATATACATGTAGATTAAATGCAAGAATGAATTCAGGAGAATAATAAGGTAGAAGTTGTACAGAACATTCCAGGAAATAATTGATATTAACTAGGAACAAAATCTGTCCCTTACAAGTCAAGGTTTTATTGGTAGTACTAAATGGTGAAATATCAGCATCCATGTCTCTTGAGTCAAACATTATTTTATTCATACTCTTAATAAAGATTTTTGAATGGGCATTGTTATTCCTAAATATTTTACAATATTCATTGTTTATATATTGTGACAACTCAAAGAACAATCTAAATCTAATCGGCTTTGTGTTTTCAGCATCAAATTTTCTATTTTATTTTAGTTTTTACAATTTTTATTTTAAAGGCTTTAAAATGTATGTTGACTTATTGTTTTAATTATTAAATGTCAAAAAAATGTTCCTTGATGGGCAAAAAATGTATGTTACTTGATCAATCATAAAAGTTTTATTTTGTTGATATTCCACTTTGTAATAAAATGTTTAGCACCAAATGAAATTCAACTATTTAATACATCATATGCATTTCACATTGCTTTATAGCATGTAAATCAACATGTATGTCAAATTATATCATTTAAAAGATGCTGTGTACTGCACTAGTAAGTCTTGTAACCCTGCATAATAAGAATTTTTGAAAACTTGTATGAACAAATTTTGTCTGTGATATTTGATGTGCAATATTGCTTAACTATGTGTATAAATTTAAGAAAAATTTTCTGTTTTGGTTGTCTTTTTAGTCGTTATGGAATTGTAAAGGTACAAGGATGACATATTGTAATTTTAAAGACCTTTGGAGAGAGATTTTAAGAGCAAGAGAGAGAGTTCGGTTAAAATCATCACCATTGGGACTGAAAGAGATCCGAAATTTTACAGTTAAAAAAAGGCACAATTGAAACATGATTATATTGCCAGTATGTATCTGTACATACAATTGTTTAAGCCATGACACTCAGCATTTGGGCTTTTGTCTTTAAATGTATAGTGAATGGGTCTCTTCTTCTTATTTAAAATCCACTTGTGATGTCATTCTTTTATTTGACCACATCATTATTTTGGGGGAATGGAGAGTTGCAGAATCACACAGAGAACAGGGTGTTTTTATGCTAAGCCTGTTATAATGGAAAATTTTATTCAGTATTTTAATGAAGAAAAAGCGGTTTGATACCCTCATCATCTAAGTTAGGTAATCAACACACTAAGCTATCAACATCAAATGGGCATTTCAATAATTTCATTATACTCACTTGTCTCCATTACATTAAGGAACAGAGAGGTACTCGTACATTCACCTACATATATTATTACTAGACATTGTTGAGATAGTGACCATCTCAAAGGGTCCCTATTTATTATTGGACTTAAATTTATTAAAGGACTTGAAGATGAAAGTCCTTTTATCCAGGGGCACTCTTAATGTAAAACTTTAGCCTGATGGAGCCAAAAATGCACAAGAAAAAAAAAAATTTACAAAGATGTGCTATAACTGACCACTAGCCTGGAACCTTTGCTCAAGGACACTGCACATCCCCTACCAATTGGCACTCTCTGAGTGAAGTTTAAGCCAGGTAGGGCCAAGGGGAGAGAAAATATCCGATGAATGCAACACAAAAAAGGTTTTGTGACCTTATCCTTTCATCTATATAAAATGGTTCAGGGTCATACTCCCCCTCTATCTATGGGCACTCTATTGGTGAAGTATGAGTCCAACTAAGGCAAGGATTTTACATAGAGCAGATTTTTTACCTTGGTTTTTCTCAAGGAAATGGTTAAAGGTCACTGCACATCCTCTACCCATGGGCACTCTATGGGTGAAGTTTAAGACTCTCTTGGCCAAGGGGAAAATATACTCTGGACAAGGATTTATTTTATTCAGTTTTTTTTACCTTGACCTTTCATTTAGAAAATTCAATTGGTTCAAGGTCACTGCAGACCCTCTGCCCACAGGCACTCCATGATTGAAGTATGAGCCCACTGGGCCAAGAAGAGAGAAAATGTGTTCTGAACAAGGATTTTATACAGTGAGGTTTTCTCGACATTGACTTTCAATTGGAAAATTGGTTTGTCACTGCACTTCACTACCCATAGGCACACTACAGATAAGTATGGGCCCAACTGAGTACAAGAGGCCCAAGGGCCTTAACGGTCACCTGAGTATAATACAACAATTTAGAAGTTAAATACACTGATAGATGAAGCATTGTTGCCCTAAAGCAAGAGAAGTAGGAAGATCAGGATCAACAAAATAATTAGTCTAGTATTCAGTATCAACTCATAAATTAAGTTCTAATCTGTCCCCCACTTAACACTATCACCATGCAGACTATTAACAAACTATTAGTGCTTCTGTACTATTTTTAAACCCATATTAAGACCTTTAGCATTGACCTCTCTTATGGTATTTGAAGAACTTTTAATAAGATAAGTTATTTTTGTCTCATTTTTATTTATCTATTACTTACAGGTCTACCTGATTATTAAAACTAAGAAAGTACTCTTTGAATTATACGATAAACATTCTTGCATAATTATCTTATTCTATTAACCTTTCAAATACATTATTTACAGTGATTAATTATCAAAGGTGAATGGAAAAGGGGAATAACTTCTCTCTGTAGAATACAAATTAATAGAGCCCTGCCCAGGACCAGAATGCTTAGACGAATGGTCCAGATGTTTAAAAATCTGGTAGAAATACGCTTACTCATATCATTTAAACTTTTACTCAGTTTGCTTCCGATATGCCCAGAAGCAGAGAAGAATTTCACAGGTACAATGCATTTTCACTATAGATTCAACAAAGCCTTACCCTAACACCAGAACCCAAGACCAAGGGTCAAGAAATTTACAAATTTGGAAGAGTTACCCTCATCATCATAACTATGGACTTCAAAGAATTAACACTTTTCCACTATATTATCAAAAGCCCCCCCCCCCCCCATTATGCCATTATGCCAGAACCTCCGACCCTAGGACGACAAGATTAGATTTAAAAATTCTGTTCGAAGCTCCCATTTTCATCATAGCTAAGCAATTTATTTATCAGCTCAACACTAAGGAGCAGACAGGATTAATTAATGATTAATTAATAGAATTAATGCTTTTTCACTATATAATCAATAGAGCCCCCTCCCCCCTCCTCAAGAACCCCAAAAACTGAGGCCATATATTTAAAAATTTTGGAAGAGGCATCCTTGTCTATCATAACCATGCACTTAGTTTGTTTAAATAATCTCCAGTAGCAGAGAAGAAGATTTTCAAAGAATCAATGCATTTTCACTATATAATCAATAGAGCCCCACCCTAACACCAGACCCCTGACCCTGGGGCCATGAAATTCACAGCTTTTGAAAAGGCATCCTTATGCATCATAACCATGCACTTTGTTTGTTTAAATAATACCCAGGAGCAGAGAAGAAGATTTTCAAAGAATCAATGCATATTCACTATATAATCAATAGAGCCCCACCCTAACACCAGACCCCTGACCCTGGGGCCATGAAATTCACAGCTTTTGAAAAGGCATCCTTATGCATCATAACCATGCACTTTGTTTGTTTAAATAATACCCAGGAGCAGAGAAGAAGATTTTCAAAGAATCAATGCATATTCAATATATAATCAATAGAGCCCGCCCTAACACCAGAACCCCTGACCCTGGGGCCATGAAATTCACAATTTATGAAAAGGCATCCTTATGCATCATAACCATGCACTTAGTTTTTTTAAATAATACCCAGGAGCAGAGAAGAAGATTTTCAAAGAATTAAAGCATTTTCACTATATAGTCAATAGAGCCCCACCCTAACACCAGAACCCCTGACCCAGGGGCCATGGCTTTCACAATTCTGGAAGAAGCCCACCTCCTCATCATAACTATGTACTTAGTTTATCACCTTAATGCCCAGGAGCAGAGGAGAAGATTTTCAGAGAATTAATGCATTTTCACTATATAGTTGATAGAGCCCCACCCTAACACCAGAACCCCTGACCCTGGGGCCATGAAATTCACAATTCTGGAAGAGGCACTCTTGCTCATCATAACTATGTACTTAGTTACTTTATTAAATATCCAGAAGCAGAGAAGAAGATTTTCAAAGAATTAATGCATTTTCACTATATAATCAATAGAGCCCCGCCCTAACACCAGAACCCCTGACCCTGGGGCCATGAAACTCACAATTTTTGAAAAGGCACTTTTGCTCATCATAACTATGTACTTAGTTACTTTATTTAATACCCAGGAGCAAAGAAGAAGATTTTCAAAGAATTAATGTTTTTTCACTACATAATCAATAGAGCCCCACCCTAACACCAGAACCCCTGACCCTGGGGCCATGAATTTCACAATTTTGGAAGAGGCACTCTTGCTCATCATAACTATGCACAAAGTAACTGTATATAATACCCAGGAGCAGAGAAGAAGATTTTCAAAGAAATAATGCACTTTCACTATATGATCTATATAGCCCCACCCTGGGGCCAGAACCCCTGACCCTGGGGCCATGAATTTCACAATTTTGGTAGAGGGCTCAATGCTTATTACAATGATGCCAACAGTTTGACTGCTTGATGTCCAGGAGTAAAGAAGAAGATTTTTAAAGATTGCATTATTTTTGGTGGTTTTAGCCCCACCCCTCAGGCCCCAGGGGGGCAGGGACCATGAAATTCACAATTTTAGTTCCCCTTCACCCATAGATGCTATATACCAAATTTGGTTGAAATTGGTTGAGCGGTTCTAGAGAAGAAGTTAAAAATGTTCAAAATTTAACGCACGACGGACAACGCACGACGACGAACAAAAACAGATAGCAATAGGTCACCTGAGTGACTCAGGTGACCTAATAAAAGAGAGAAAATATGTTCCAGACAAGGATTTTATACAGATTTTATCCGCCCTAGACCTTTGATCTAGAAATTACTTCAAGGTCACTGCACACCCTCTACCCATGGGCAATCTATGGGCAAAGTTTGAGCCCGACTAGCACAAGGGGAGAGAAAATATGCTCTGAACATTGAAAATGGACAACATACTGATCACAATAGGGCACCTGCAGAGAGGGGCCCTAAAAAACAAAATGAAAATGCACCATTTCTTTCAGTTTATTTTTAATCAAGTTTCATTCACATATAGAAATAAATCGTTTTTCTCTTAGTTTTAAGAAACATACAAGAAAAATTACCAAGAAAAGCAGAGCAAGTTCTCTTTTCTAGGACTTCCTCGGTGAAAAATTATACTAATTGGGAAGAAAAATATTACAATAAGTGAAAGACTACATTATCTTCCCTTTCTGAAACAAAGCTTTTTTTGGCCAATCAGTGATACCCTCTAATTTTTTCAATATAGAAAAAAAAATTATTACCTGCTTTTTGATTATTTCATTTATTACTTTTATGTAAAATATGACATTGAATCAGTTGATAAAAACTTTCTGGCACTTATTCTTAATTTTCTGAACAAAAATAAAATAATTCACTGAAACAAATGATTCAAAGATTCTGAATAAATATGACAAAACAAAATTTACTCCTTACATTCATCAGTAAACATTTAAGTTACATTCAGCCCTTCATCATGAAAAAATAGTTTAAACATGTTAAATACCGGTAATTTAATAAAATATCCAGATTCTCCAATAAACATGCATGCATCAATATGGGAAAGGGCAATAACATAGAATAATATTTCATTACAATACTGTAAATCAAGATGAGTGTGTCAAGGTCATGTACAAGAGTTGGTCAAGGTCATTTACAATAACATAGTTTAACATTAACACGGTGTATTTTGTTACCAATTTGAATGTGTGTCATCAAACATTCAGAAAAGTTGCCTTCATAATTTTACATACATGTTCTAAGAATATGTTAATTACAGCACCCAGTGAAGGAATGGATTGAATTTCATATACAGTGAGGCCATTATATTTAAAGAAACTATGTACAATATGTAAAAATTAAATAAATCATACAAAAACAGTAAACAATAATAACAAAGATAAACATGTAAAAACTCAACAACTAAAATAGACTTCACACATGCATTCCAATAAGTCAGTACAGATATGTAAATTTAAAATGGACGGATTTTAGTCATCTTGACAAGGACGGCTAATACAATGACTCAAAGGCAATCCTCAACCTTTAACAAGAATCCAATATGTCACGTCAGTTCATAGTTATATTCTGACATATCTCCAAACACTACAGGGTGATTCTAGGCTTGATAACCTTAGTCTCTATGGATCACATTCAGTATCAACACTTTATAAAATAGGAGCATCCAATAATGGCAGTTTATTTTTCAACCTCCATTGTCAAAATCAGAACCTTGCCTCAACCTTTATCCTCTGACTACCAGATGTGTTATATGTTACAGAAATTCCTCTGATATACCTAATGATCTGGTAAATCCTAGAAACTAACAAAAATCCACATCTTTTGTAATATTATCTTTGGTATACGACACAAATTAATGCACTAAATCAGTCAAACAATACACCGATTAATTGGCTGATATCAATAAAGAAAGCACGGAAGAAATAGGAGACTTTTGTCGTCATCGCGGCCCCGACCGTACGGAGGCCTGGGAGCCGTATATACTCTTAGTCCGTTGGTTCACAAGATGGTGATGCTCTATTTCACCCTCTAATTCATAAATCTCTTGTTTTAATTTCGCATTCATACTTCGTATGGAATCTGAAAAAGTAAAAATCATATATATATGATATGCCACAACAAGTAAATAACAACAAGTAAATTATATGTAATAGAGGTTTCATTATGGGTGTTACTATTCCTCTCCTGCCATATAAACAAAACACAAAATTCTATCTGTCAATAAAACATGAATTTCTTCTATTGGATCATGCTATATAAAGCTGACCTGATGTGGAGACTTGGGAAGCCCGACGACTGTCATTATAACGCATCGGTGACTCTGAAAAGTAAACACAGCAGTTAGTCAACAAATGTCATGTTCTTCCCTTCTTATTTATAAAGACTTACTTTCAAGTTTGAATTTTAAAAGGAACTTTTTCTTTAAATATGATTGTATTAAACAAAATTTTCAGGTCTGTGACAGATTTTGAAATACATCACTCATGTTAAAGTATGTTAAGTGTTGTTTTGTTTGGGTTTTTTTTTTTTTTTTTTGTAAAAGTCTTAATATGAAATGAAAACATGGAAAATGTCACTTTTCATAAATGATAAAATAAACAATTTTAAATCAGACTTTCAGTGCTTCTAAGTTTTGTAAATAGTTTTCACAAAAGATGGTTTTAGTGCAAAGTATCTACTAATTGTGAACCTTTTTAAACAGTTTAATTTCAGAGTTTAAAAAAAAAAAGTGAATATGAAATTTTGCCTTGTAAAAAAAGAAGTGACAAAAAAATTATATCTGTAATCTGCTGTGCATTAGATACTTCCTAAATTTCAACCAATCAAGACCATTCTATCATTTATTAAAAACTGCCCAGAAATTATGTTTGAGGGTGTTTGAGAGTGTTTAGTGCATATAATGCAAGAGACAGTGTTCTTAAAACAAAACAATTTGGAAAAGCCACCCTTAACTGAAAAGTGTTTGAGTGCTTGTGTACTAGAAGTAAATTGCCCCACCAATTCTACTAAATGCATCATCGTCCTCGTCATAGAAGACTGCAAAACACACAACAGCTCATAAATAACAGTAGCCAACTCATGGAAAAGAATTCATAAGAATCTTTGATGATGCAATAAGGCAATAATAGTTTTTCTTTGATAAAATTTCATATTGTTAAATACATATCTTAAGGCATATGATATACTGTAGCTAATCACACTGCATTTCTGTATGAAAAAAAGCTGTGAGGAACTGCTAAATGGTGACAATAGTCCTACTTTAAGAATATGAAAAATAACAATTTTTATCAATGGAAAAAAAAAGTGTATCAAATTGCAATTCTACATATCATACAAAGTGCAGAACATGTTGACAAAGTGCTACAATACCAATGACTAAAAAAAAACTCAGTAATACATGTAACTGACAGCAAGACCTGCCCTTATTAGCTTAAGCAGCAGCTGAATTACCTCCCTTGTCACTCCGCAGCATTTTGATGTTTACTGGAAGCTGCATGTCAACAGAGCAGGATTAAAGCATCATAAAGGGGAGAAAACTCAGAAAGTTATCCAAAGTTATCCAAGAAAGTGAAAATACAATATCAGTAAAGACAAAAAAAAACCATGATTTTTGGCACATATTCTGCTAAAAATAAAGATCTCAAAGAAATGTTTCTACAGATAGATAAAAACCAACTTAAACTGACCTAAAGGAATAAAGAACTTAATAACAGCACAATGTCTGAGATGTACTGTTTGAAACTGCACACTTTGTATCTACCATGTCAGCACTCTCTAAGAACTTACTATCAAAGGCTGTATGAATATTACGAACATGAGGCATTTCAGAGTCAGAATCGTATCTGACTTCTGCTGTATATATATTGCGGGAGGATAAATTTGGCATACTACGACCAATTTTGTGTATTTGATGTAAACCAAGGCGACTGGGAGAAAAACGCGGAAACCTCCATGATTGTGGTTCCTGGAGTAAACTGTTGCTGGAATCTAAGAAAATTAAAGTACTCAAGACCTAAAGTCCTCTAGTGAAAAATATTCATATCATGTGGCACATGTAATTTTATGAACAAGAGGCCCAAGGGCCTAGAATCACCCTTCTGATAAATTGTATAACTCTAGTCACTGTGACCAACCAGGCCCAAAGACACACCAACTGATAAATGCAAAATTCAAAAAGTAAATAATTGTGACCTTCTTTCAAGATTCTTCAGATGCATCAACTGACAAGATTTTATGATTCTAGTCCTTATGCTGGGCAAAATATCGAAGTTTTAACAATATATCATTTTAGGTCAACTTTGAAGTGACATTGAGACCACATCCTTTGCCCTAGGGTGATGCTTTGAGTACAAAATGTACTTACTAATCTATAACTTATCCTCATTCTTATGTATATGTTTGGTGATCATCTGCCTAGTAGTTCTTGAGAAAAATTTTTTCAGCAACCACTACTTTGATTTTTATTTCCTAATTATCTCCCCTTATTTAGGTTACATCACTTTTTTCAGTACCAGGTATAAATGAAAGCCCTTGAGCTAAAGATACTCTGTGACAAATTTGATAAAAATTGGCCAATGGATTACGGTAGATCACCTAATCCTTGAGACACCTTAATTTCACGAGCTAGTATTTGGTATTCAAAAGTGAGACAAAATTTTCATGAATTCTGCATATAATGTACACTATTAAATAAAAATATATGCAAGAATAAATTTTTCATGAGCAGACTGTCTCATGTAATTAAACGATAATAAAGTTCTTGCAAATAAAAAATTTTTTACAGTATTATGGCCCACACTCTCAAAACTTGATGCACACCACACAAATTGCCATAGCATTAGCTCCTTGAGCTGAAATGTTTATCACTTTTCAAATGGGGAAAAAATTGCATAAATACAAAGGGTTTAGTTTCTAACCTTGTCTCATTGGTCCGTTTAGGTGAGGTGAAGGTCGTCCTCTTGGTGACATGTATCCATCATCAGGGTAACTACCAACTCCATTCTGCATATATTCTGGAGGTCTGTAGACAAATGAAATAGCAGTGTAACTTATGCTAAAGAGATTGATACAAAATAAAGCCAACTCGAGATCAGAACAAAGTAAACTAGAAATCAAATAGTAACTTACATATTGGCTGGTCTTTGTATGGGATCTGAGAGTCTATGAGGAGGGCGTTTGGGGCCACTGGGAGGTGTAGATTGTTTACCCCTCCCTGCCTGAGGTGAGGGACTGGGGACAAATTGATCTACCTACAATATTGAAAGATTTACATTGAACACTCCAATATGCACCAAATTTTTCCATCAAAAAAAATTATCATATAAATAATTTTTGATAATCTATACTTATAAATTAATAAATTTTGCAAATAAACTCCGAAACGGGTTCATCAGAGTTCTTACTAACTCCTCCAAGAATACACTAGATACAAGATGATGTCCGTAAACTATATTTAGATTTCACTCGCATAGTTAGTATCGTACATTAAATTAAAAGGCTACCCTCATTTTCTATGAACAGCCATGAAATAGCAAAAACATGAGTACGGTGGCGTTTCCGGTTGGCGGATCTAAGGTATTGGCAATTTTCAATGACACTGACAACAAGCAATCGTTTATTTGTTTCATAAAACGTCATCACTGAATTATTCAATCAAAACTTGATTTAAATGATATAAAAGAAATAAGTTGTGATACCCGATTAAAAAGGGAAATGTGCAAATTATTTTCGTCATTCACCGATCTTAATATTGACGGAAGCTTCCAGAACATCATATAGCATCGAGCCCGATGTTTAAAAAAAAACGAGGCTAAACATAAAAAAAGTTTATGTGTGAATGGTCTTTGAAATAATGGTAAATCATTGATAACACTATAAGTTTTGGATATATTTATAAATCGAAAGACTGTTACATATATGTAATAGGTTTTCCTAATAAATTTATCGGTAAACTTCTCACTGAGAGCATCGTGGCAACGAACCCAAAGCACAATTTGTACTTCGTAATAAACTTGCTTACATGAAAAGAGAAAATTAATGAATAAGGTATTGTTCAAATACAATCAAAGCTGTATAATTTTGTGCTTTAATCAATACATTTCAGTTATTTTTCTGAATACAGTCTTTTGTATCAAATACTCGGCCTATTCCTAGGGCGTTAAAAGATAATTTTTACACAGGTACTTGGGCCTTGGTTTATAAATACGTATGTACATGTACCTTATTGATACATGTATGTAAAAAAGTAAAGTACATTTTTTACATATCAATAAGGTACATACATATTTATAAAGCAATACCCGAGTACCAGTGAATTTTTAAACCCCCCCCCCCCCCCCCAATCAATTTATCAGTAAAATGTGCATATTCGCTGCTTTTATCCTTGAGGGAAATGAAATAAGAGCATCTGAATTATAATATCCATAGCATAGTATAAAAGGTTTCACAATAAACGTCAATTAATGAAATTGTTATTTTTTCAATTTTTTACAAATGGAGGGGTGGGGTGGAGACGTACATCTACTTCATGCAGGATTTTGAACAAAGTATTTTTTCCTGCTATAAGCCTGTAGGCTGTCAGTAGAAACTACAATACATTTTCTGTCGGTTATGGTATAAATTCAATTTCCCGCGCTTGCCCGGGATTTCATCTAGTTTAAATAATTTGTACATTACCCTATTGTTGATGGGTCTCTGATGAGGAGGTGGACCACCCTTCCACTGGTTGTTTTGGGGTGGTGGAGGCTTGTTATGTCCCTGCCTTGGAGGAGGTGGTCCCTGGTCATAATACTGATCTGGTGGGGGGTGCTGGGGAGGGGGAGGCCCATTAGGCTGACGGGGAGGGGGTGGTCCATTGGTCTGCCTCTGAGGGGGTGGTCCATTTGCCTGTCTTTGCCAGCCACCACTTCCTCCTCCCTTCATTCGACTAAAATAAAAATTTCTTTTTTAACTGATTAGGCTGCTTTATGATAAAAAATATAAATTCCCCTGTAACTGATAAGGGTGCTTTATGATCAACTAATAATATAAATTCCTCTGAAACTGATAAAGGTGTGTTATGATCAACTAAAAATATAAATTTCTCTGTACGCAATATGACTACTTCATGGATGCTCTTTGAATATCTAAAGAAGGTTAACATGCTGATGATTATTTAAGAGAATGCAGGACTGATTTCCTATACACATGTAGTTATCTTGATGTACCTATAAATAATTAATTTCCAACCTACTGTAAACTAAAATAACTTGTCCTCCAAGCAATCATTAAAAGCTTGTTTAATTTTATGAGCAATTCAAAAGCATATTATTATTTGCATTGATTTTTGTCATTCAAGAGTCAGATTTTTAAAATTTAGAACAGATTCACCTTTAAATTATACATGAATTTAGCAAAAGGATGGTACACAATATGACCCATTCATTCTTTATATTACAAATATTAATTTATTGATTACTGCCAGTATTTGTGTAGAAGATTTATCACAAATCAATTTAACGAAAAAATTTTTCAATAGAAGAAACAAATAAAAACTATGATGCATTTTAAAAAAAAAATGTGAAATCAATAAAACATGAAAGGCTATTCTGTATATTATTTCTGGTGACATAAAACAAATGAGAGAGTCCCTGATAAAACTGAGTGTCTGATTGCCATTATACCCGTACATTTCTTTCTCCAGTTGTTCGATGCGCTTTGTCAGTTTTTCGTTCTCTCGGTACATTAATTGCTGTTCCCGCTTCACTCTGTCTTTGGCTTGATGCATTTCAGAGTTCTCGGACCTATACAGAAATAAAAAAACTTAATATGTTGAATTCTTTCAGCCTGCATTATCATATAAAGAATCTAGCATGCTTGGTGAATATTTTAAAAGGTCCCTACTGTCTTGTACTATCTTGTAGAGAGAGCAAATGAGCCAATTAATGACATGAAACATTTATACCCCAATCAATGTATCTAAGTTACATACAAAGCGATATACATGTATGTTTAAACAGAATTTAAGACTAAACAGAATTTCTTGTGAGAAAACTTCATCATTTCATTCCTTATGTCTTCAGAATATATCAATACCTTAAGGCTTCATTCTCGATCATGTACTCCTGTAACATTTCATAGAGACCAGCCTCTGTCCCTCCCTTCACATTAGTTTTGGGATCATTGGATTCTAAGTCAAACAAAAATGACATAAAATTATACCAAAGTCCTAAATAACTTCAGTGACACAACACAAATTTCAGTACTTGGGTCATATCTAAATTGTATGATGACTTATGCTCTCCTTATAAATATTTCATAACTAACTAAAGAATTTGTTTTTTAATGTGAACTTTGCAGAACAATGTTCAATCCCATATAATTTATACCTTTTCCTTGAGTCTTTAAAAATTTCATGAATTTTTCATCATTTGACTTCTGTAGCTCCCCTTTGGGTTTAGCTGGGAACTCTAGCTGTAGAGTTGAAGACAAAATGTTTTAAAATTTAAAATCAGTCCAGAAAAAGGCTGGTTATAGATAATTATTCTTCATGAAACTATGGCCTTTTAGACTATTTTATTACCTCTTTCTCACCTAAAGTCAACACTTGATACAAGTGCAAAAAAACAATAAATCACCTGGGTACCTAATGATTAAGTAACAGAGGACAACACATGGCACGCTAATGTGTAACCAGTGGTAGGTCATCAAATATAAACTGACAAGGGAGACAACTGGGTTATCTACCTATAAGGGAGATAAGTCCCAGAGACACATTGACAGGGGAGATAAATCTTGACTTATCTGTTAACATTTACCTGAGAGGGAGACAACTCTTGGCTCTCTTACCTGGTTCAGGAGACATACTGGATAGGGGGAAACAAACTGACAAGAAACATTTGAGATTGGCAAAAAAAAAAGATAACTCCTAACTTACCTGTTGCCGAAGATAGATGTTTTCATTCCTTAGGATTTTTATCTCACGCTTCAAACTTAATATTAACTTTTCTCGAGGATCCTACAAAATTAATCATGCCATTGTCATTATAAATCACACACATATCATTTTACTGAAAAGATTAACAGAATATACCTTTCATTTCATACAATGCCTTCATGAGATGATTATTAAACAGTGATTGTTATGTGTGCAATATCAAATTTTACATAGGAACAAAGTAAATAGATATGTTTGAATCTTGTCAAAATTCAAACATAAAATCAATATATCAGCAATTTATTACAACCTATGCAGACAGTGACATGGTGAGCTAGTATTCTCATACACATATACGCACATCTTTGACCAATCCTTACCATTTTAACGATAGGTTTGGTTTTGATTTTCTTGGCTCGACTGGCGTAGCGCAGGGTGTTGATAGTCTCGTGGACATGGTGAGAAGATGGAGTCACACAGGCAATCTATATCAAATCAAAATCTTATCTATAACTTTTGCTAAACAGGATTGACAAAAAATATGGCTTGTTCTCTATTACTGTTTAGAAACTGTTGCACATTTTCACTGAAAGAAGTAATCTATTCACATTATATATTTTAATTACAGTAATATAGAAAAATTATTTAGCACAGACACCAATGAAATATCATGCATGATCAACACCTTGAGTGCTTGCTATATTTAATGATGCTATTTATCAATTTCTACCATGAATGACAAAGAGCAAATGCTACAAAGTCATCAATCTTTTATGAGATCAATTTTTTCCTGATTTTTAAAACACACCAGCCATAAGGTTCAATATTTTATTTTCAACAGAAGTATATACAAATCTTTATCAATGTACAAGTTTCTGATCAAGGAGGTTTTTTTTTTAAATGCCCGCCTATCAATCATTCAGAAAGATAACACATAAAGACAAACCAGCTGTATAACTAAAAATGTTACCTTTCTGACATCCTGCTCGAACCTGTGTTAATCTCGAGTTTACAGTTTTCTGATAATATCTCACAGGTGTAACCTAACACAATTATGACTCAAATACAAGGATTGGGTGGAAAGTTTATAGCTTGAATTACAGGCCAGCAAGGCCAGAATTTGTTGATGTATTTTATTTGTTGCATCATTTATGTCGGAGATTCATGACCTACCATCAGAGTAACCCCGTTTCCTCCCAAACTGTCTGCCAGGAGCTTAGTAAGCTTACTGTCCCTGTACGGAATATGACCCTGTCTCCTTTTGGGATCACCGAGGGATGAGATACAATTTCCTGTTTCAAAAAAATAAACTGATAAATTGATTTCCCATTATCGTTTCTTTGATGTAAAGATTTTTATAACACAGACTGGAATACTGCAAGTCACTGTGATGTAACTGTGAATAATTCATTCTAGAAACAAAATAACTCATCAATTTAAAAAAAAGAAAAGACAAGTAAATGTCTGCCTGAACAGTTCTGTTGTGTGTTACAGTTTAGTTTTTCCCCTTGTATTCCTTTCTTCTTTCTAAATAAGGATTTTGGACCTATATGCCTAGAAAATATTGTGTGGACCACTCTAATACCTCAAAGCTCATTCAGTGAACTTTACAGTACAGTTGTTTTTATTGGTGTATACTGAGGAATAATACAACTTCATGTGAATGTTCCTTTTAGAAATCCCCATTAGATTACTTCTAGAAGAAGGATCTGTCATTCCCTTACATTTAAATACCTAATTGAATTTCCCAAATTAAATTAAAGTTTACAAACTGACATTTACACCTAAAATGCATGTTTAAAACTTTTGAATAAATTTTAATTATTATTTGCTGCCCTGACAAAAAGTTAAATAAATTGAATTGAAATTTAACTAAAAATCTGTAATCCTTTAACTTAAAATCTATAATCCTTCTTTAGGTAATTCAACCGATTTCACTCATCTCTTCAGTAGTAAACATTGTTCATTGCACCTGATAGTTATCCCAGAGTCAGAGGCCTCTCTGATCGTCTCTACTGCACTCCGATTATATATAATGGTATGACTTCAAGATGTAGAATCCCCCCCCCCCCCTACTTATAGACTAAATTTGTAACAACTGTTGTATGTGTAATAACTGTAAGACTACTAGGTACACAGTGCTGCCTAGTTCCAACAGACTCATTATACATGTTGTAAATGTAAGACTAGTAGACACACAGTACCCACCCAGCACCAATAGACTCATTATACATGTTGTAAATGTAAGACTAGTGGACACACAGTACCCACCTAACACCAATAGACTCATTATACATGTTGTAAATGTAAGACCAGTAGACACACAGTACCCACCCAGCACCAACAGACTCATTATACATGTTGTAAATGTAAGACTAGTGGACACACAGTACCCACCCAGCACCAATAGACTCATTATACATGTTGTAAATGTAAGACCAGTAGACACACAGTACCCACCCAGCACCAACAGACTCATTATACATGTTGTAAATGTAAGACTAGTAGACACACAGTACCCACCTAGCACCAATAGACTCATTATACATGTTGTAAATGTAAGACTAGTGGACACACAGTACCCACCCAGCACCAACAGACTCATTATACATGTTGTAAATGTAAGACTAGTAGACACACAGTACCCACCCAGCACCAACAGACTCATTATACATGTTGTAAATGTAAGACTAGTAGACACACAGTACCCACCCAGCACCAACAGACTCATTATACATGTTGTAAATGTAAGACTAGTGGACACACAGTACCCACCCAGCACCAACAGACTCATTATACATGTTGTAAATGTAAGACCAGTAGACACACAGTACCCACCCAGCACCAACAGACTCATTATACATGTTGTAAATGTAAGACCAGTAGACACACAGTACCCACCCAGCACCAATAGACTCATTATACATGTTGTAAATGTAAGACTAGTGGACACACAGTACCCACCTAACACCAATAGACTCATTATACATGTTGTAAATGTAAGACCAGTAGACACACAGTACCCACCCAGCACCAACAGACTCATTATACATGTTGTAAATGTAAGACTAGTGGACACACAGTACCCACCTAACACCAATAGACTCATTATACATGTTGTAAATGTAAGACTAGTAGACACACAGTACCCACCCAGCACCAACAGACTCATTATACATGTTGTAAATGTAAGACTAGTAGACACACAGTACCCACCCAGCACCAACAGACTCATTATACATGTTGTAAATGTAAGACTAGTAGACACACAGTACCCACCCAGCACCAACAGACTCATTATACATGTTGTAAATGTAAGACTAGTGGACACACAGTACCCACCTAGCACCAACAGACTCATTATACATGTTGTAAATGTAAGACTAGTGGACACACAGTACCCACCTAGCACCAATAGACTCCTGTTTATGTTATTTGACTCCTTCAGCATTTGGTCACTGGACTCGGAATCTTTCACCTTTTCACTACCTGAAATAATCAACTTAAACTTACTGCAAGTCAATACAGATAATCATGCAATAATAATCAGAATTCAGAAAAGAAAAATTATTTTTTTATAAAGTTCCTTCTATTTGTAACTTAAACAGTTAAATATAGAGGTTAAAACAAAATTTTGGAAATGTTAATACATGAACTGCTGATTCCCTTTACCTGCTTAGTTTCCCTCGTTTTTTGAGGTATAGATTTTCTTGTTACCTGCCAAGTCTACAAAGGTGAGTTTCCCTCGTTTTGTGAGGTACAGATTTTCCTGTTACCTGCCAAGTCTACAAAGGTGAGTTTCCCTCGTTTTGTGAGGTATAGAGTTTCTCGTTACCTGCCAAGTCTACAAAGGTGAGTTTCCCTGGTTTTGTGAGGTACAGATTTTCTTGTTACCTGCCAATTCTACAAAGGTGAGTTTCCCTCGTTTTGTGAGGTACAGATTTTCTTGTTACCTGCCAAGTCTGCAAAGGTGAGTTTCCCTCGTTTTGTGAGGTACAGATTTTCTTGTTACCTGCCAAGTCTACAAAGGTGAGTTTCCCTCGTTTTGTGAGGTACAGATTTTCTTGTTACCTGCCAAGTCTACAAAGGGTAGTTTCCCTCATTTTGTGAGGTACAGATTTTCCTGTTACCTGCCAAGTCTACAAAGGTGAGTTTCCCTCATTTAGTGAGGTACAGATTTTCCTGTTACCTGCCAAGTCTACAAAGGTGAGTTACCCTCGTTTTGTGAGGTACAGATTTTCTTGTTACCTGCCAAGTCTACAAAGGTGAGTTTCCCTCGTTTTGTGAGGTACAGATTTTCTTGTTACCTGCCAAGTCTACAAAGGTGAGTTTCCCTCATTTTGTGAGGTACAGATTTTCCTGTTACCTGCCAAGTCTACAAAGGTGAGTTTCCCTCATTTAGTGAGGTACAGATTTTCTTGTTACCTGCTAAGTCTACAAAGGTGAGTTTTCCTCGTTTTGTGAGGTACAGATTTTCCAGTTACCTGCTAAGTCTACAAAGGTGAGTTTTCCTCGTTTTGTGAGGTACAGATTTTCATCGTCAGGGTCCTGCTGTTCTGTGTCTATGGTCAGGGTCAGCATGCTGTGGCTTCTACTGGAGAACTCATTCAGACCGTGAGACCCTGTCTGTCTGTTCCTCATACCTAAAATCAAAATCCATACCATGTCTCTATTACTCTAAATATTTAGTTCCTGACAACATTTGTAATCTATGTATGACAATGCCCAAATTAAATTGTTTAAATCTAACTCGAAGGGAAAAAAATGTTTATTAGTCTCACTTTGGGATATACGATCATGCTGGTTACCAGTGATGATATATTTAAATGCAAGAATTATAACAAATTTTTAATGTAACCATTCCATGGACAAAGTTTACCTTAACCTAGAACTAATGACAATGGTATAGCACTAAGAATGGTCTGATGGTATAAAGTAGAGACTTAGTGCTTTCATTTCCTATTAAAAAGTTTCCTCTGAGAGTCCAGGTATTGAAAAACAGGCTTTGTGAAATTACACTGTTCTTGGATTTTGAAGAAAATGTGTGTGATTACCTTCAGCAAAGAACTAAAATATGAGCCCAACCCTCGATCCAAAAAATAAAACATGGATTATAATCTTCTGAAACAGTACTTTCATTACATAGATGAAGATTTTGGATGAGAGGTTGGGATCTATGCAAAAAATTGGAAAACAGCTTAAATTTTTGGCCATTTTTGATGAAATTTCAAGATTTGATGATAATGATGCGATTCATGACATCATAATACACAGACTAGCTGGAAAATTACATCATTTTAATGGATATTCAGTCACCAAGGGTCCAAGTGAAATATAATGTATTTTCAACTAAACTGAACATTTCTGATTTTTCATGAATTCACAGGGCCAAAAACAGGCCCTAAGTGAACCTTGTCTTTTGTCCCATTTGAGACTCAGTTGTAATAAAATTATGCTTTCTTTTTTTGTTAATGCAGAAATTAATGGTTGCAACTATTGCAGAAAAAATACATAGCCCAGTTAAGCAGGGTATGTAATTAGTTGCAACAGTTAATCCTGTAATAACAAAGAAAGATATTTTATTGTTTATTTATGTCTGTGTAAATAATCATAATTATAAAGCAGGTTTAAATATTGTATTGTTGTTCTTTAACTCATGGTACAATTTTGTATGTTTCATTGATGGAAGAGCCCACTGCTTAAAAAATCTCACACAGCTTCACAAACAGTTCTAACTAGTTTAGCTTTAATAGATTGAATGTGTGAATTGGTTTTCATGAGAAATAAGGGAGAAAATATTCAATGGATGTAAATTTGAGATTATACTGTATTCCTTGAATTTGCATCTATTAAATTCATCCACTTGTGATGAGACTGAAAGGGGTGAAAATTAAATAGGATGAAACTTTTCCCTATACACAGCATAGGATAATGTTATTGTTTGACAGGATCAGAGGCCGTATACCGGGTAGGTATAACAAGTAATGTGTCTGTGTGATGATCATATGACTAAATACATGTACCAATTCAACAATTACAAGTCTCTGGAGAGACTATAGCTCTACTGTTTGTATTATGAAACTCTGGTTTAGGTTAACATTTACCATTAGACATAACCATTATCAAACCAATGACATGTGAACATTCCATTTTAGATTCTCTTTTCTTAACCATCTCCCAGTTGTAGAAATGATATGGTTCAGATATACCGGTACTACTGAAAATTCATTAAATCTTGGATTCGGACATAAGCCTTTAAGTCCTGATCAAGCTAATATGAAGAGAATCTTTAATAATTGAGAAAGCTGATAAAACAGTAGGGGTTACCTATCATTAATAAATCTGGAAACTCGGTGGACATTCCTCTATCATGTAACGCTGACAAGAAGCTCAGAAATGTTTGGTACGTTTTTGTAATTTTTCTTATTTCCCCAATGTATATACCTGTATTTCATAAGTAAAGTTCAATAGCAGCTCAATCAGAATTACTCTCAATGAAAAAAAAATTTATGGATTGTGTATATTGTTTCCATGCATGTCATGAGAGAGAGCATGTTCAGGTAGCTTTTCATTAGACATATCAATTCAAGCCTCAATAAAGGCAGATTAGGAGTGTGTACTTCAAAGTCTGTATACAATAAAACAAACATGGCAAGCCTTCCGTTAAAGGTTCTCAAGCTGCAAAAATTTACATAAAAATTCCCTCCCTTTGTTGTTAAGGTCCTTGACACTAAAAAAAATGACAGAGGTAAATAAAATCAATTTCTGCTAGCAGCCATAAAATGGTCTAAAGAATAAATTTGGATACAATACCTGGCTCGTTCTCCTTAAGCCGTACCTCACTGGGGAGGCCAACTTGGACATCGTCAATGTCCAGACGCAACGGACCGGCCATTCCACCATCATCCGTCATCAGATAGCATATATATGCATCATTTCCCTCATAAACAGAATCAATGTCACCCAAATCTAATGGCTCATCTTCATCTTCAGATTCTGGGAACTTGTACTCCTGATTTAGTTTATTGCTTGTCTGATTGGCCGAGTTTTGCATTGGTAGGTTATCCTGCAGGTAAGGTTTTCTTTGATCGTGGTTATCCTGAGTAGGTTTAACATTCATCATTTGTCCATTAGAATTACTGTTAAGATTTCTTTGCATATTTGGCCTCTCACCCTGATAGGATTGAGGACCTAGCTGCTGAGTTGTCCTCAACACGGAACTACTGCGTGCATCATCAGAAAACTGCACTGACTTTCCATTTCCAGAATGTTCACCATTACTTTGAGGCAGACTATTATAAGAATAAGAAGAGTCAGAATTCTCATCTATATACCTCTGCTGAGTGTTGTTGTGTACATAACTGGCAATTTTCACTTCCTTCCGATGATAAAGTTCATCCTTTTCATCCCTAAAAGGAGCACCAACATTTGGACTGTCCAGATACTGAGCCGTATTAGAGACCCTCTGGACAGGATTATATTTAGCACTTATGGATGGGGCCTCTTTAGATGTGGACGAGGCTCTAGAATTGGTCTTGGATCTCATCACATATTGCACTACAGAGTCTGAGTTTTTGTTATTGTTTACTTTTTTCATGCTCTCTCCACTTTGGTTTGATGCGAGTGACCTTGAGTCATAAGTCTGATCCTCATGGTAGTGCTTGCCTCTTTGAGTTTGGTTTCCTCTATGATTTCCACGTCCATCCTGCTGAGAGAACTGAGACGGAACATACTGGTTCCTGGATGGATTATCCTGTGGCCGGCTACGAAAAGTCCCAGGATTGCCTCTGTATGTAGATAGCGGACCATCATCTAATTGATCAGGAACCCTTTTTCTCTGGTGTGGTGTAATCTCTACATTGATTTCAAACTGCTGATGCCGTCTGCTTCTGTGAGTCCCTCCTTCACTTCTAGGAGATTCTGCCCATACCTGGTTAGCGCTAGAGTTGTGATGGTGTGACATTTTGGTTTGTTTTGGGGTATGTTTGTGGGCAGTATGATCGTTTATGCGTACAGAGCTGTGTCCTTTTCCATGCTTGCTGTCCTCACTTTTCACTACTCCTACCCTATGTTTTGTTACTTTAGAATGCTTCACATTATTCTTAATGTCTTCTGCTCTTTCACGGTGAGTTTTATTTCCTTGATGGACATCTTGATTTAAATTCTCCTTGTTGTGTTTAATCTCGTGTTCCTTTAGATCTGAAGGGAAGGACGTTGGACGTGTCTTTTTCCTCGGTGACTTATTTCCTTTGTTGTCTAACTCCACATGTGGTCTGTAGTCCGGTCTGAGGGTATCAGAGAATTGGTAAGACTTTGGTCTGTCCCTCAGACTTACCCTACTTGACCCCTCACTAGTTTTAGTTACCCGAGACTCTTTAGGGGCTCCTGACCAGTAACTCATGATCATAAACTTTACGTTAATTAATACATGTATTCATCCTTGTTCACAAGAAGTAAAAGGTAGCAAAATTTCTTATATGTGAATATTCCAATTTCACATAACTACACTAGCTTCACAACTCTAAAATCATTCTGAACAAGAATCAAGTCCATTTATAGATTTAGAAACAAAAGAGATTATCCTCCAGAATTAAAATTCACATCAAATACAATTCCTCTGCCAAGAAAAACCTAATCAATGACTCGAGATCCTTCCATATAAACAACATCTACGCATAAAGTAAAAATTTGACGTGCACTTCTTCCCATTTCATTTTCTTTTTTGTCATTTCAATATTTCACAGGTGCTAACTGCTTTGTTTTAACTGGAGTTTGGATTGATTTACATAAATATCAAAGAGCGAAACATTCCATACACACAAAGAAACAATCCCTGTACTTTCACCCATTAAGGCCCTGAATGACATTTAAAGCCAGCATTAGTTATATCCAATAACTATCTGTCATATCAATACTATATGTGACACAGTTAAACTCCTACATTAATTAACAATGTACTAACAAGGAACAAGTGTCTAGTTAATGTATAGTTCTGTAGTGTTGTTAATGGTTTTTAAATTCCTGTTGTTTCAGCTCAGGTATTTGTCACAGACAAACAGTAACAGTCACTTTTGTTGACAAATGATCATTATAGATACTGTTATTGCGTGTATAATGAATTGAAAAGTTTAAATGAAAACTTAAGCTGGCCGAGCTTGACCAACTTTTCGTAAATCCTATAACTTATAGTGTTCCACTTAAGAAAGGCCTGGATTCCTGGACCCTTTAAACAGCAGTAAAATATACATAGACATGAAACTATGTCATACAATGGTCATAAGCCAACTTCACAAGCTAAATTCATGGATATATTTTATTTTTGATATGCTGATGCCTTTTTTTTGTATATGGATACAAGCCATTCCATATCTGTATATATAAACAGAACTGTTTCCCTATTTGAAGTCAAGAGCAAGGATATAACTTCTTGACTTGGCAAATTAAAAATTTAGAAAAGAAAATCTGCACTGTACATAAAAGGTTTTACTGAATGTATAAAAGGAAAAGTTTATATAATTTTTCTTTCAACATGGTTAACAAAGTGGAGAATTTTATATGCCACAATTTTCAAAGAGCTAAGAACTACAATTTGACAATTTAAATAATCCACCCTCATCTTTATTTGTAAACTGTCATGGTGATTTTATAAGAACTCAGACATTTGTTGTATTTGTTGATAATTAAATACCCTACAGCTAACCTTACTAAACTTCTGACTTAATAAAACAACCTAAGTGACAAATAACAAATGAATTTACAAGAAAAACTCATTTAGCACAAAGCTGTGAAAACAATACCATAGTTTTTCTTATTTGTTCTTCTGGAATTCATCAGGTCATATTTTTCAAGATAACTTGATAAGACAAGTTCTTTGTTTTCAATTTAAATTTCTAAGCCATAGCCTTAGGTGCAGGCAAAGCATGATTTAAAAAGCCCCCCCCCCTTTACTTGTGGACACAAACATCTAAGGTTCAAAAACTTTAAATTAAAAAATTAAGTCTGGAGTAAAAACCTATCTTTAATACAATTCACTAGTGCATCTTCTGATTAAATTATTTAGTTTACCTGTCTTATATACCTCACTAATTACAGGTGTGAATTCTACATTCCAACACATGGTTTTTACACTGATAAATTTCCATAACTAAACCCACCCAGCATCCAAACACAGATATGGTCATTCAACACAAAAGGAAGAGAACACAAGAGAGACAGACCAAACTCATGATCCGACGATGTTTAAAACTCCAGCAAAGCGAGCGTCCCACATTGAAATGAAATGGTTATCTTTGGGTATAATTGTTTACAGCGAGATTCAATATTGATCAGATTTAGCCAGTATATACAAACTGAGAGAATATATCCTGGACTATTACAATGTCTTTGTAGGTTTAAAATATTTATTATTAAGACTTGGCAGAGGTATAAGAGGTGCAGGACTTAATCTCTCAGGGCTTATTTGATCTGGCTACTATAATTTCCTCTGCTCGGATTAAACGAATCACACCAAGAATTTATATAAAAGAGATGGCAATGCAATGATCACAAACGCAACACCGAAATATTTCCAAAAAAAATTTCCAACTGTGTGATAAATGTTGTTAGGTCTCTATTATACAGTGCAGATAGTTTTATCTGCAGTGTTTACATAGCCACTGTTTGCCCACCTTTCAATATGTAAACTTTTTTGTTCTTGTCCTCCCCTATCTGCCATTGTCAATCCCAACCCAGTATACAGAATTCCTACAGAAATCATTTACTGGGCAGTATTGACAATTTTCCACGTGGCTTGATTCCCCATTATTATCAATAATAACTTTCTGTTGTACAAGTTTTATTCCATTTGTCCTGGGCATATTCATCTGTTGACTTTAGAAATAGCTATAGGGCTAGTATAAATGTGAAAAGTTCAAAAAGTCAGAAATATACCATGATTACAGGCTTGGGGGGGGACTATTTCCTATTTATTCCACAAAGCAAATAACAGAGAAAAATATGTCATCAATAGAATCAATACCATTCAAATTATTTATGACATGTATATATAACTGAAAGATTTTTTTTTCCATATCTGTGAGGAATAAGTATGTTTTCCTTTTTTAATAAGACAAATTATATTCGGACTTTCATTTTAATCTCAAGGACAGAAATGCACAATCTTTATTCCCTTTAAGACTTCATATTATAATGGCTAATATTTGAGAGGAACTAGATAAACATTTAATTAAAAAACACCCAGTAAACTAAGATTACATGTAAACATGTAATGATGATCAATCATGTAGAGTCAATTAACACTTATAATAATGAATATTTCATGAGATGACAATGAGAGAGATACTCCCTTGTTTTCAGACTTTTTCAGAGAGTATACTTCCATCAATATATAAAAACCTACAAAGATCTGAAATATTCTTACAGTGACTTCTAACAATTGTATAAAAAACCTACAGTGATTTGAATTATTCTGACCAGTAGATAATGGAATTAAAATTCCTTCTTCTGTAATCATATCAGATTAGTGCAGAGCAGTTTTAAAATTCACAAAGTTAATTCCATTAATCAATGAATACATATGTAAAAGGTCCTAGCTGGCACTTGTATGGTAACCCCAAAAATGCTTAATGAATATTTTTAGCAATCTTTTTTTTTTTTTTTTTTTTTTTTGAAGAAAAAAAAGTCACTGTAGAGTAAGGGAAAGAACTTGATTTTTTTTCACCGTGAACAAAACTGAACTAGAGTTCTCTCCCATTCACCAATATAAAACGCATGTTTGATGGTCCACATCAGGGACTTGCATGAGCAACTAATCACTTCTACTAAATAAATACATTAATTATCACAACGAAGACTGATTGTTTAACCGATATATTTTTCTTCAATCTTTTTATCTTTGTTAAACAAAACTATATATTTTCTTCTCCTCATATTCTGACCCCTATATCGGTTCATCTAAATATAATGATTTAATGACATTCAGACATCTGTCACATGCCCAAACTTTACCCTTTTCTCTGCCCCTCCCACCCTCATCACTGCACTTGAAACATTTTTAAATGTATGGTACTTTAATTTTTTGGTACAGGTATCATAAAAATGACATCTTATGTTTCAAATTAAATTAATGAGAACTTAAGTGGTCAGTCTTTCTGTAAATAGCTTACATTAAGTATTCTGATGATGCACTTCAACTTTGTTCCTGGTTCAGAATTTTAATTTGGAAGCATTAAATTTCAACTTATATTCCAAGTTTTACCAATAACACTTGACTCCGTGATCAATAATTTGAATACAGACCAATGCAGAGCAGGCACTCAAGTGTAGGAACTTTATTATAGTCTTGACCTTAGAACCAAAATCTGCCTACACCATAAAATTATATAAAGCCACTCTTGTTGTGTTACTTTTTAAAGTAGCAAGTTAGAAGAAAGTTTAAAAATTTTAAAAGAAACTGATGTCTAAAAACCTGAATGAGAGGTATAATACATGTTTTATTTCTGGAATTAAATTTAAAGGCTCTCAAGTCAGATCAATATCAAACAAATGTATGGAAGAAAAATTATTTTCCTTTCATAAATCAATCATGTTTGGAACACTTCTTATGGGGACAATTATAAATGGTTTAAAGATTGCTATATTCTGACATGTGATTTTCCAACAAAAGGAATCAATGAATGACTAGCCGTGTTGTAACATTATCATTCATACGGCACAGAAAATGAGACCTGAGAAAATAAAAAAAAAAACATTTAAATACACACAGCAACTGTAATCAATGAGCTTGCTAGACCATAATTATAATGTAACTAAAGAATGTGATAAATTTACCGTTAATTATTGCCCCATTTCTGCTGTCAGACTGATGAACCATAGATATCAATGAGTTTGTTAGGATATCTACCCCTAATTAGAGTACATCATAGAACTAGGTACTGACTTTATTTCTTTCTTTTTTTTTTGGCTTTACAAGCACCATGGAAGTGTTGTTGTCAAAGTGATGGGTGAAATAAAGGGGGTGAAAAAGAATTGATAAAATCTAACAAGACAGTCATATTTTCCCATGCTTATTGAAATTTCCACAACAATGATAAATTCTAATAGGTTCAATGTTGAAAAGAGCAAGGTTCACATAGGGCCTTTTTTGGCCCTGTGAATTTGTGAAAAATCAAAACTGCTTAGTTTTAATTGACAATGCATTAGGTATTACTTAGACCCATGGTGACTGTATATCTGTTGAAAATGACATAATTTTCGATGCATTATATATTTACATTCCACATGTATTTTGCTGTGTGGAAAACTTCGGCATTCAATACACCATAACACAGATGGGAAGGTCAAAATGTTCAGAATTTTATGTTGACGTCACAAACACTTAACACCTTCAAGTGTAACATCATAAGCGAAAATCAAAATCAATGCTCACACTGAAGAATTTAACGGTAGAAGCTGT